CCTGCCATAGATCATTAACATTTTTACCCTGAGGATTAACCCTGGAGGTCATCAGAGGACAGAGGGTGGGAACACAGGTAGGACCAAGGGCCACAGTTTTTCTTGCTTATCTCTGGTAAATGCAAATTGATGGTGTGTCAGAGACTGTTACTATTATTATGGGTCCATTGGTCAAAAGACGCATTTGTTAAGCCTAGAGGGGTAGAACATAGAGTTCTGGGGTTTTTGTTGTCTTTGTTTTGTTTTGGGATCACACCTAGCAGTGCAGTGCTTGGGGATGCTTCCTGGTTCTGAGCTCAAGGATCACTACTGGTGGGGTTCAGGGGACCCCATGGTGTGTTGGGACCAAATCCTGGCCAGCTGGTCCAAGGCAAGCACCCTCCCTGCTGTGCTATCTGTCCAACCCCAGAATATAGAGTGGAAACAACAATATCATGTTTGCTTGGTTCTTTGACTTCCATGTAGAGATCTTGATTTCCTGTCATTTTTAAGTGCCCAGTCTTCTAAGATCACCATAGCTTCGTCCTTAGTTCCATGTCCTTAGTCTATACTCTGGAACATCGATCTAAAACTCTTTCCACAGATTTTTATTAAGGGATAGATCTTGGAACAATTCTACAGATACAGTTTAAAAGATCTCCATTTAGCAGTCCAGTTTGACCACACATTTCATTTCCTTCGCCCAAAAAAGTCCTCAGACCTACGCATTCCTTTACATTCATTCTGTCTTGTAACTTTTTCATCATTCCATTTCACAACCAACCAGTTTCACTGTAAGACAGAATTTCTTTCTTCTCCCCCAATAACAGTATCTCCAGACATTATCTGACTTATTTAAAATACGTATCTAAATTCCTGATGGTCTTTTTTTGTAGATCTGACTTCTTACCTTATTAAATTTAGTATATCTTGATTTTCCAAGAAATTTGAAAACATTTTTCCCCTTTAGCATGACAAAGTTGTACTCTGAAGAATTGGTCAAAATATTTTTTTTTTAGTCTCTGAACATAAGGCATATACAAAGTTCTTATATACTTGTAAGAAGTTTTTTTTTTTAATAAAATATAAAATGCTCAGGATTCACTACTGGCATTGTATAAAGGACCATATAAGATTCTGAGGATTGAACTCAGGTCCTTAGCATGCAAGGCACGTGTCCTACCTACTGTACTATCCCTCAGACTCCTCTGGGTGGAGTTTGAATCCACTCAATCTGGAATCATTAAGAATCTAAATTGCCACCGTGTAAGAAGTGGACAGCTCCACAGCTTCCCACGAATCTCAGAGGAGATGCAAGCCAAGCCAAGCTGCTGGACCTCATGGGCCCAGTTCTAGAGATCCTAGGTATCCTGGACTCCTCCAGATTCCACAATACCAATAGCCTAGCAGGAGCACACCAGAGTAGGTGGGAAAATAGTCTAGAAGTCAACTAAACTCAATAAACAAAATCAGCTACACAGAAGGCTCAACTAGCAACCAACATCTTAGTAAACCCTCACACAGTGACTTTAATGATGCCATGGGGAGATCTAATAATTTTCACAAATTTTCTTTCACTGAATTCTTTTTTTTAAATAATTCCATTAGCCACCTTGTTGTAATAAACAATATAAAATAAATTATTTTATGCCAGGGAAGGGGACAGACTTGTGGAACGGATAAGAAACTGGGGAGGGCTGGAGCAATAGTTCAGTTCATTTGCCTTGCACGCAGCCGACCCAGGTTCGATTCCAGCATCCCACATGATCCCCTGAGCACTGCCAGAAGTAATTCCTGAGTGCAGAGCCAGGAGCAACCCCTGTGCATCGCCGGGTGTGGCCCAAAAAGCAAATAAATAAATAAATGGGTAAAAAGAAAAAAGAGGGGCTGGAACAATAGCACAGCGGGTGGGGCATTTGCCTTGCACGCGGCCGACCTGGGTTCGATTCCCAGCATCCCATATGGTCCCCCAAGCACTGCCAGGAGTTATTCCTGAGTGCAAAGCCAGGAGCAACCCCTGAACGTCGCCGGGTGTGACCCAAAAAGCAAAAAGAAAAAAAAAAGAAACTGGGACAATGGTGGAGCGAAGGTCACATTGGTGGTGGGATTGGGATTGGAATATTGGGTGTTCTTAACAGCTGTATTAAGAACAACTTTGTAAACCACAGCATTTAAATAAAGGAGGGTGGAGAATCTAAATCATCAAAAACCTGAGATCAATTGTTTCTAGATATTCTTTACACTTTGATTTATTTTCTCTCTCTCTCAATCCACATTGGAAATTATTAGTACACACACTGTATTTTTTCTCCACTGACCAAAAACTGGGCCCACTGGAGCAAAACGATGAACAGGAGGACAGTGACAGTGACCAAAAACTTGCAAGATTGTATCAGTTGTTTCAAGCTCATTTTAATAATTAAACTGTGAAGATATGAACCAGTTTCTATTTACTACAATTTTCTCAAACCATAAGTATTTTCGAGTTAGATATTCTAATAATTTCATGTAATCACTTAGACACAGAGGTCTTTAGTTCTTACTGAAATTTTAGATACCAATGAAAGAAAGCTTTCAGAGTTTGCATAAATTCAAAAACCCATTGATTTAACTTTGATAATTGTGTATAGAAGTACAAATGTTGCTGAAATTCTATCTCTATTTGTAAAACAGCCTCGTTTCTTGTTGTCGTAAAGGTTTAGGACTCATAGTAGTAGTTGCTCTGGTTTAAGATTTGGAAAGTTAGGGTCTTACCTTGGGCTAGAGTGATAGCACAGCAGTAGGGCGTTTGCCTTGCACGAGGCTGACCGGTCAACCCGGCTTCGATTCCTCCACCCCTCTCTGAGAGCCCAGCAAGCTACCGAGGGTATCTCCCCTCACGGCAAAGCCTGGGAAGTACCTGTGACATATTCAATATGCCAAACACAATAACAATAAGTCTCACAATGGTGACATTACTGGGTCCATTTGAGCAAATCGATAAACAATGGGAAGACAGTGACAGTGAAAGGATCTTGCCTTAAAGGGTATAGATTTTCTTTGGCAAGTTTTGAGAGATTCACCTGGGATGGTTTAGGATGGTCCTCACTGTTGTAACAGAACTTGCCCCCGTAAATAACTACTGGGACTCCATAGGGATATAAGTTGCCGGTTTGTAACCCTGGACTTTCAGGTGGAAGGATTAGCTGGCTCTGCCTTATCCTTGTGTTTTTCCTAGGCCAAATAAAATTACCCAGATGAGACCATGTTATTCTGATATTACGAAAACACCAACCCTCCTGTCTACCAGGTTTTTCCATTAAGTTTTATTCTGCACTCAGGATAAGTTTTCTTAATTTAGTACATATCTTTGGCCTCTCTCTGTGTACACTGATTATCAGGAGGAATCAGGGGAGGAATTTTCTCTCACTCTCCTCTTTATTACGATCTAATTAACTCCTTTGTTTCTTCCTTTCCTTCCTCTAACACCTCCTCCTCTTTTTGGGGTCCCCCTTCTTCTTATTGTAGCACTGACCTCCCGTCGTTCATCGATTTGCTCGAGTGGGCACCAGTAGCGTCTCCATTTTGAGACTTCTTGTTACTGTTCTTGGCATATCAAATACGTCATGGGGAGCTTGCCAGGCCCTGCTGTGCATCTTCTTATTGTAATGGTTCTAAAGAGAGGGAAGCTAAGGTACAGAGGTTCCACACAACGATGTACAAAGATGCCCCGGCCTATGGGCCTTTCTTAAGAAACAAAGAGAACACTTTCTTTCTCTGCCTCCAACCTCAAGTTCCCACAAGGGCAACCAGTAACAATTCTGCCTCATCGCCTGAAATCCTCTTTATTTTTACTCCCCCGAAACATTTAGCAATCACCGTATTGTGATTCAACCCAATTTGACCCAGGAAGAAGCAAAATGTCATTCAGAGACCTTTAAGGATTATAGGATCTGGATGGGTACAGAGGAGACGTCTTCAGATTCTGAACCCCGAGAGCACGCGGGCCAGGGATTACACCTTTACTAGCTCTGATTATGTGGCCAAACAAATCTTTGGATGTGTGTGGGAGACAGACAGCAAAGGACTGGGTAGGCTGGCATAGCCTTTGAACTAAGAGGGGGAAAGGTCTTGATGCATGTGTGCAGGATTAAAAAAAAAAGAGTAATCAGTAAATGGTTAACCTCAGATAGCATAATCAATAATTGATCTGTAAACAGATAGGAGTGGGCAGGGAGTGTTGTAATTCTTTTGCCACGGTCTGGCAGGCAGACACTGCTGGCACGGAAGTGCTATGAACCCCTTCTATTCAGCACCCCGGCACAGTGGGGGGGGATGTGTTTCAGGTGTCCGGAAGTCCTCATCCCCATAGCTCCCTGATTGATACACCCCCCAGAATCCCACTCTCCCTTCAAGCAGGAATTCCCTCCTTCCCTTCTGGGTCCCCGTGGCAAGTGTGGATGACTGTGGCTAGCTCAAGGCAAATGGGTCCCCATGAGCTCTAGTAAGTCTGGACACATCCATGTGCCAGTGGGGTTTCTGTCTTGGATCTTTTCCTTTTTTGGTTTTTGGGTCACACCGGAGATGCTCAGGAGTGACTCCTGGCAGTGCTGGACCCTCTGGGATGCCGGGGGCTTGGCAAGGGCAGCACCCTCTCCCGGATGTTCTATTGCTCCAGCCTCATATCGGAAATTTTATTGACTCCAGTAGTTTTCAAGCTCCCGCAGGAGTCTCAGGTCTTACTGTTCTTTCCTTTGGAGGCGTTTAGATCTGTAACATACTAACTCCTCTTGCAAAACTGTAACAACTAAGCATCCATCTTAACTAGTATCCCCGTGGTGAGCACCTGCCTTGGCTACCAGTAGTTGTGCCTTTGGGCTCTTGGAGATTTTCCAGTTTGGATCTGAGCTCTGGGTAAGCATGGGGCGGGGGTGGGGGGGTGTTGGCTGGAGGCAACTGCGGACATTTCCCAGAGGCTCCTGGGATTGCATCAGCGCCCCGCCCCTGCAGTGGGCTCCAAAGGTCCCTGCAGCCTTCAGCCACCTGCTCCCTGGGACTCCGTGGGACTCCGTGGGACTCTGTGGGACTCTGTAGGACTCCGGCTTCCTCCGCATCCCGACATGGCGCTGCCTTGGGCCCTCGCGATTCTCAGCCTCCTTCCTCTGGTGAGCGCCGATAGTGCGCACCCAGAGTGCGCCAACTTGACAGGGACGCCCATCACCAACTCTTCTCTGGACTTGGTGAGTGCTGACTGGGTCGCGGGGCTTCGCCTCCATCATGCCTTGTGCTCAGCGCCCCCCCCCCCACCCTGGAGTCGGGTTGCTACCCGTTTCCCTGCAAAGTCTGATGCCCTTGCAAGATCCTTCGGCCTGGAAGGGGTGGGGGCGGGGGAGCGCACAGATTGAGTATGGAGGGGCTTTCTGGAGTAGGGGTGGGGGTGATGTCCGATCTTCAGAGTGAATCCCTCCAGATCCACTCCGCACTTGGGACCCCCTATTTGTCCGCTGGACAAGAAGCCTGTTCATCAACTCCCCATTCCCCCCACCTCCAGATCTCTGGCAAGTGGTTCTACATTGGCTCCGCCTTCCGCCACCCGGAGTTTATCCAGTGGGCCAAGTCGGTCCCCTCGTCTGTTGTGTACTTCACCCCCAACCATACGGAGAGCGTGGTCTACTTCCAAGAATACATCACCCAGTGAGAGCCCGCCAGCCCCCCCTCCCTTGCTTCTGCTCCCTGCCTGCCCGCCCACCAGCCCCTTGCATCCCCTGGCTTGCCGTGACCGCTCGGTGACCACCCTCTTCCCCCTGTCCACCCTCCTGCTTCCCTCCCACTGTCTGTCCGGTGCCAGCGAGGACAAGTGCCTCTACAACTCCAGCCACTTGGACGTCCAGTGGGAGAATGGGACCTTGTCCAGAAACGGTGAGGGCCGCCTTCGTGGGTCTGACTAGCCTAGAAGGGTGCCAAGGTGGGGGAAGGCAGAAAGGAAGGTGTTATGGGTGGCTCTGGCCCTGGGGACAGGGGGACAGTGCTGTGACAGGACCTCGACTCCTGCTGTGTTCCAACTCCTGGACTGTCTGCAAGGGCTTCCCAACCCTCCAGCGAGCAGAGAGGCCAAGGTACTCCCTTGAGGTCACACAGCCTGGAATTAGGCTGCAGACCCAAGGCAGGCTCCAGGTCTGCCTTATTCTCGACCTTCCTTTCCTTTGTCGTCTGGGCAGTCAGAAGGGCAACAGTGTGGTCCACCCATGCCCCACAGAGGGTGGCGAGCAGAGGCTCACAGGAGCTCATGGAACCACACACACCTGCCACCCAAAGGCACTTTTCTGGGTCTCACTTCCCGCATCTGTGAAACAGGGAGCAGGACCCCGGTTCCAGGCACCGTTGGCAGGAGGTTCTATGGCTTCACCCACACAAAGTGCCCTGTGTTCCTAGGAACACGAATTGACACCCCTCCCTCCCCGTCCGGGGCCCCTGGCCTCCCCACCTCTGCTCTGTACCAGGCGGTCAGACTGCCTCATCTGAGCAGTCGTGATGTGGGAACCCCAGCCCCCCATGCCACCCCCGTCTCACCCAGAGTCTGTCTTCTCCCTCTACCCCAGTGCTGGGCGTCCATTACTTAGCCTACGTGATACCCACCAAAGACCCTGCCATCTACATGTTTGCTTACTACCCGGAAGACAAGGAGAAGATGGGGCTGTCTCTCTACGGTAGGAAACCCCTAAACTTCCCCCCTCTTCCCGGGGCCTGTGCTCCAGGACTGCCCCCTCTGTCTCTCCGGGGCCTTCCCTCCCCGTTCCCGCCCCGCCCCCACCCTCCCCCCACCAGAACCCCTGCTCCTTCCCGCAGCCAACACAACACAAGTGACCCCGGAGCAGATGAGCGAGTTCCACGGGGCCGTCAAGTGCATGGGCTTGGAGGTGTCGGAAATCATCAGCACGGACGAGACGAAGGTGAGGGCAGGAGGCAGCCTCAGGGACCCAGGGACGCGCTGCTGGCCTCGACTGGACCGCTGGCCTCTCGTCGGGTCACTGGGCCATGAGGGAGCAGTCGGACGAGCAGGGTGGAATAGCAGAGACCGGCAGGAAAGGAGGGCACGGCTGCCATGACGGGAGGAACGGGGGTGGGGTGGGGGAAACACGCATAAAAATTTGTCCCCCTTGGCCACACCCCAGGCATCTGGGAAGGGTGGCTGAACCTGGGGCTTCCCCTGTTGCCCACCCTTCCTTCCCCAAGTCCCAGCCCGGCATCCCTGTTCTGCTCCCAGAATTGCTGATCTCATCATCTCTTTAATATTCTCCCAGGGGTGGGAGCCTTAGCACAGCAGAGAGGGCGTTTGCCTTGCATAGAGCCCACCTGGGTTTGACCCCTTACCCACCCCGCATCCTATAAGGTCCCCCAAGCAACCCCGGAAGTGATTCCCCCCGTGCAGAGGCAGGAGTAAGCCCCGAGGATCGCCCAAACAACAACGCAACAATATTCTCTCATCAGATATTGTATTTTTTTTACATCATGAATTTTAAATTAGAGTTTAGGTAACATGGTTACAATAATGTTACTGCTTATGGTGTTGACGTACCAAGTTGCACAATTTTGTAGGTCAACACCATAAGCAGTAACATTATTATAACCATTAAAAAGTTCCTTCACCCATCTCCCCACTCACCTCTATCTAGTTCGCCTTTTGTTGCTCACTCGCCCCCGGCCCCGCCCACCCCCCAGAATCTCAGTCCTGTGATCCCAGGTCTGGGGTTTGTCCTCCTCAAGACCGTCCCTCTCTGGCTCACAGAAGTGCAAAATCATCTGCAACTCGACCTTCCCCTCTGACTTGGGTCTCTTAACCTGATGGCCTCTCTGGCCCACGCACATCACAGCCAGCTCTTTGGGCTCATCTTTACCTTGCAGTGCTCAGGGCTGACTCCTGGCGCTGTGCCTAGGGGACAACTCCTGCTGTTGCTCAGGGACCCACATGAGGAGCTGGGGATGGAACCCAGGTGGGCTGCATGCAAGGCAGGCGCCCTCCCCACCATCCTCTCCCTCCAGCCCCTAGGCCATGGCTCTTAGACCCACTCCTGTGTTGCCCGACGCTTGGGTTGTCTCTGTAGCCAGCTTAGCCTCTTCTCCTAGACCTGAGATCCACGAGTGTCACTGTCCACTCTCACCCTGTGTGGTCAGATACTTCAACTCCCAGAGCTCAAGAGCTGATGGAGCTGTTTTGCGTCTGATGTGACACTGTGTGGCTCTTAGCACAGGAAGGTCACACTGTCAGACCACCCGGGGGGTGGGGAACCCACCCTGCCTCCCGCTCCCAGGGACCCTGGGAAGGGGTTTAAGAACCCAGGCTGGGGCATTAGGTCTCAGGTCTGCAGGCCTTCATCCCCATCCACCAGTAGGGGGCGTCCAGACAGGCCACATGCACAGCCTCCTGGACTCCCAACCCTGCCACGACAGGGTGCAGAGCGGTGAGGGGTGTGGGGGGCCCTGGAGACCCAGGTGAGTGCTGGGCAGGCCGTGAGCACTGGAGGCATCTCATGTTCCCCAGGATCTGCACCCCACAATCTCTCTCTGCCACCTTCCTTCCCCATTGTCTTCCTTGTTGCCACGTTTGGGATTTTACCTTTGGCTGTGGTGCTCCTGTGGCCGGCAGCCAGGGTGTGGCAGGGGGGTGACAGGGTATGTGGGGGGGGGTGTCATGCGGTGATGCTGATGGGCTTCCAAGGACTGAACATCCAGCCGCCCCCTGCCAGGCAGGGCTCTGCCCAGAGCCATTCCCCAGGCCCTGAGTCCTTTCTGGAGTGAGTAAACTGAGGCTCAGGCGGGGTTAGGGACCACCCCCCCTTCATCATGCTCCCCACCTTTCCTCTCTTTGTTCCCCAGAGCCTGTGTGGGCCCCTGGAGAAGCAGCACGAGGAGGAGAGGAAGAAGGCAAAGGAGGAAGCAGCATAGGATTAGAGCTCGGCGACTCGGTGGTACCTTGGCTCTTTCCTCCAAAGCGTCAATAAAGTGTTTCCTCTGGAGCAAGCAGTCATGTGCTCACTCCCGCACAGCCATTCACCCGCGAAGCATGAGGCCAGCCTGGCTGAGCTGAGCCCTCGCTGGCCACCAGATGGAAGAGGCTGGGAAGGCTCAGCCCCTGGGCCAGGGTGGACCAAGGAGGCACCATGTCCTGTGTGGGGTGGGAGACAGTCCCTTCTTCTTTGGTAGGGGAGTCTGTAAGAGGCATCTAAGTCAGCGGAGGAACCAGAGAGACTTGGTGACCCCTTCTGTCCCACTGGGGGGGATCCGGGCAGTCTCTCATGTCAGAGCCCAGACGCAAAGGTCACTGAGAGGAGTTGGTGCGAGTTCCGTGTGCCATGTGAATTCGTCCCCCCAGCTGTAGGGCTGGTTGTGACGGTGGGCGGTGGGGAGGATGCTGTGAGCATCGTGGCATCACGCCAGGGCCTGGGGATGGTGGGGGGAGCCAGGGAGCACTCAGACCTCAGCCCCAGGCAGTCTCTCCATGAGGCGCCCTTATATGCTCCACAGGGGCCGAAAGGGTGAGGGACCCTCACCTCCAGGACCCAGTCCTGGGGGGACACACCAAGGCCTCTTCCATCTCCCCAGAGACCCCATCACCCACCCACCCCCACCCCCGGGGCTTCAGCACTTCCCAGAGTTGGGATCTCTGATGTGCCCAGAGGCCGAGGCTGGGGCTGAAACTTGGGGTCCCTCTTCTCTGTGACACCCTCAGAACGTGTCGAGCCATGGAAAGGCCTCTTGCTCCTGAAAAGGGGCTGGGCCCGGAGGCTCCCACTGCCCTAGAAACGGTCTCCCCTCGGGAGCATGTGGCACACTGTGTCTCCTTTTTTCTTTTCTTTATATTTGGAGCCTCTCCTGGCCATGCTCAGGGCTTATTCTGGGCTCTGTGCTCAGGGATCACTCCCAGAGGGCTCGGGGACTTATGGGGTGCTGGGGATTGAACCCAGGTGACCTCGTGCAAGGCACGTGCCCTGTGGCCACTGTACTATCACTCCGACCCAAGGACGCATTCCCCGGGGTTCTGGGAGGATGAGCTGAAGGAAGAGAAAGCAGAGAAGTGGCCTGAGGGGAGGTTCTGGGGAAAGGAGGTGTGTGTGTGTGTGTGTGTGTGTGTGTGTGTGTGCATGTGCATGTGTTGAGAGTATCCATGTGTGCATCTGTGTGCATGTGTATGTGCGTACATGTGTGCATGCATCCGTGTGTGCATGTGTGTGTGTGTGTGTGTGTGTGTGTGTGCGTGTGTGTGTTTGTGTGTCTGAAGCAAAGATCAAGGCCAGAAGAGGCAGGAGTCCAGGAGGAGAAACATCACAGAGGGGAGCGATAGCACAGCAGGAAGGGCGCTTGCTTTGCAAGTAGCCGTCACAGTTTCCATCCCCGGCATCCCACACAGTCTCCTGAGCCCCACTAGGAATGATCCCTGAGCACAGGGCCAGGAGTAACCCCTGAGCACCAGGGGGGCATGGCCCAAACTCTCCTCCCCGCAAATGATAACAAAGAAGACAGACTTTCCACCAGGGAGCAGGATCCACTGCCCACGGGACCCTCCATCTCATCACAGAGGCGGGATCCCAGTGTTCAGGGCCTGAGCACCCTCCCCTTCCAGGCACCAGGCCTGAGCTCTGAGGTGCCTGGTGGGGCCAGCCAGCCGCTGACCCTGAGCATCAAGTCCTCTGGTCTGTTTGACCCAAGTATCCCTAGGAGTGAATCTCAGCCCCCTACCCTCCAAAGAACGAAAGGCTACGGGCCAGGCAATGCCAAGCTGAGCAGCATTCAGTCTGCTGTTGAGAGCACTGCAGAGGGAGTCCAGGTTCCCACTTCTGCACATCCCCAGGGGTTCTGAGACAGGCACGGGGCGGTACTGGAGAAAGAGAAGGGGCAGATGGAGGCAGAGTCTGGGTAGGCCCCTCTCACAGTTCCCCCCGAGAGAGGGGGGTGCTCAGCATGGCACCCCTCCTTCCACCCCCAGCCGCGGCCTTAGAAACCCCGCGTGGAGAAGAGACACAGGAAGATGAGCAGCACGAGGGGAGTGTCTCTTTCTGACCCTCTTTTATTGAAAATCAATCTCCATCCTTCATTGCCCCTCATAACGAAAATAGAATCTGGAACGCTTCAGATATACAGACATCACGAGGCACACGTCGCGGAAGGGCTGAGGTACGCGCTGTGGCGGGGGGGGGCGGGCGGCCCGGGGTCCGGCAGGGCGCTGGCCACTCGCCTGTCCCTCAGGGAGGTCTGGGAGAGAGTGGGGAGGCTGGGCATGAGGCACTGAGAGGGGCCACGGCGGGAGCGTCTCCACCCCTGCAGGCCCAAGGGGCGGGTCTCTTCCACCTGGACGAGGGGACACCCACTGGTCGCCTCTGTGCCCAGGAGGTGCTGTCCAGGCATGTCCTTCCCAGGTCTCATCCCCTGGCACGGCTGGCCATAGGCAGGCTGGTACAAGGGACCTGGCCCTTGTCCTTATCTGGGCCCCCGAGAAGGATCCAGGACCCCAAAGTCCATGTTCAAAACCTAGGACTCCGTCCATGATGCTGAAACAGTCTGAGTTGGGGCACGAGCGCAGACCCCGAGTTGCAGCACCCACGAGGCTGCCCCGGCCAGAAGACGCTGGACCCAGGGTCCTTCTTCAGTGACCCTGGGGTCACTTCCCGGGAGGACTGCCTTTCCCTCCGCCCTGACCACCACAGCTTCTGGGCGGGCAGGTCTTCAGGGTGTGAAGGTGGCCTGAGGCCCTTCCTAGCGGCTCTGGCCTCCCCCCAGCGTGGGGCTGGGCCCTGCGGCCCCTCAGTCTCTATCCCTGGTCCCCACGTGGGCTCAGAAGAGGCAGGAGCCCCGCAGGCCACGGGCCTGGCGCAGCTCGGCGGACAGTGAGCGGGTCATTTGCTGCGTGGTGGAGCGCACGCTCTCGGCCGCCTGCGCAGCCCGGCTCAGCGCCCGGTTCAGCTCCTCCAGCTCCTCCAGGTCCAGCTGGACGGATGGTCTGGGGCCCCTGGCTGGCCGGGACGAGGCTGCTGGGGGCCATTCCGCGGCCGAGGGGGCTGAGGTAGATCCTGGGGCTGTATAGTACCTGAGGAGAGAAGGGAGGAGTCCAAGCCCCTGCCAAGTCCCAGGGGGGTCAGAGAGATGGGACGGGTGAGGGGTGGGCCTCACAGAGGGCACCAACTGAGTATCGCCAGGAGGGGCCACTTGGGAGACCCCAAAACACATTAGACTACAGGGCCACCATCTCTTACTCTCTGCGTCTCCCCATTTCTTCACCACTGAAATAAGAACTGTAATTCCACTGAGCAGTGGGCCAGAACAGATGCTTGAGCTCACACAAACACACACTCATACACACACACTCACACACACAAACACACATACACATAAACACACTCTCACACAAACACACATTCACACACATTCTCACAAACACAAACACACTCTTGCACAAACACACATATACTCACTCTCACACAAATGCATTCACACATGCACTAACACACACAAACACACTCACACACATTCACACACTCATACACACATGTACATAAACACATTTTACACACACACACCAACACATACATTCTCACACATGCACACACATACATTACACACTTATACACATACACACACAGAAACACTCACACAAACACACTTGCACACAAATACATTCACACAAACACACACAAGCACATGCACTCACATACACACACATACTCCCCCCTACACACACACACTCTCACACACATGCACACACATGCACATACACCGATATATACATTCACACACACGCACTCAACCACACTCATACACATATGCACATACACACATTCACATACATGCAGATACACCAACACATACATTCACACACTTAACACATGCACACAAACACACACTCACACACTCAGAGACACTCACACACAGATCCCCACACATACACTGACACATACATGCTCACACCCCCTCCCCCCAACACATGCACACATGTTCCACCCGCCCCCCATAAGCCCAGGAGTCTGCCTCTCGGGCCCTTTGCTCCCAACAGCGGGCGGAGTGCAGGGCAAGCTCTTACACAGCAGCTGACGGGTAAGGCAGGACGGGAACCGAGGACACGTAGGCGAAGCTGGGGGCAGCCAGGTACCACAGTCCGGGGGGCGGCCGGGATGGCGACACTGCCCGCTGACCCCTCTGCTTGGGGCTGTGCGTTGCAAGTGGGTTTTTCCTGGTGGCAGCTTTCTCTGGCCCTGGGGGAGTGGGGAGGACACCAGGCATGTGAGCGGGGCCAGCAGAGAGCAGGGACAGTGCTCCCGGGGAGGGAGGAGCTGGAAGCAGGTCCCCACCCCGCCCACCCCGTTTGCTCCATCCCACCAGGGGAGAGGGAAGCGCCCGCGGGTGCTACCGGAGGGGGCTGAGTCAGAGCTGGCTGCCTCCTGGGGGGGCCCGGTCCGCCCACACAGGGGGCACTGCGGGGTGTCCGGGGGAGCTGGACCCCCTGGGTCCTTGGCCACGGCAATGCCTGGAAGAGGAGGAAGAAGTTTGTGGAAACCAGGGGCGGGTGGGCCAGCATGGAAGGCAGCCCCTTCTCAGTCCAGTTCCCAGCCCAGTGCTCCCAGAGGTGAGCGCCAGGGTCCAGCAGTGACTCTGCAGGGAGACAGACCCCTTCTCCAATGGCTGTGCCCCCAGTACCCCTCTCGGCACCCCCCACCCCTAGCACCGAGGGGTCAGTGCAGGCCCAAGGGATCAGGAGGGAGGCACTTCCTCAGCCCATGCGAATCCTGACAGCCCCGTCCAGGACAGGGCCTGCCTGGCCATTTCTGCCCCAGACTTCCCCTCAGCCCTCCCCAAAGCATCTCCTCCCCAACCTCCTCCTCCTCCTCTTCCATTCCAGCCCCCCTCAGCTGACTTCAGGGGCTGAATGACTGAATGAGTGAGTGAGTGAATGAATAAGTAGGGAAGTGAATGACGAGGCCAGTGGGGAATCTGTCAGAAGCCTGTGACAATCCAGGACCTGCAGGGGTTGAGCGCCTCTCCGCGCCTCTCCTTCCTCTCCCCAGTACTCAAAAGGACAGGCAGGTTGACAGTTACAGTGGGTGGGGTGATGGCCATGCACGCAGCCAGCCAGGTTCTGAGCACTGCCAGGAGTGAGCCCTGAGCACAGAGCCATGAGCACAGCCGGGTGTTGCCCCGAACATACAAAAACTAAGATGGACAGAACCAACTTTCCAGGCCATGGGTGCCCGTGGGGGGCTCATAGATGAGTTTCATTGCTGCTGGAAAGGGCCTCGGAGACCAGCCCCAGCCCTCCACAGGGAGGCCACTGCAGGCAGGCTCAGAGTTGTCAGGGAACTTGTCTGACGCCACACAGCACGGCAGGAACAGAACCGGGACTCGAGCCTGCAGGAGCTCAGGATGGGCTCGGCTGGGGGAGTTTGGGGAGGAGAGTGAGGGGTGTCTGCCCACGTCAAGGTGGGGAGAGGCAGTCGGGCCGAGCAGCTGGTGTGGGAGGGCCCCCGGGGAGACTGAACGCTCAGGCCAGTCTCCTCTTCTCGTCTGCACCTCGGAGCCACCAACCTCCAGCCCCTGGACCCCGAGAAGCAGCGGCACCTCCCCACTCCTCACCCCTGCAGGCCCCCCTCTCACCTGTGTCCTGGGGCCCAGTGGGCTGGCAGTGAGCACAGGACTCCGTGGCACTGCCTCGCGGGGCAGCCTTGGGGGTGAGGACATGGTACTGCTGACCTGGGGAGCGAGGCAGAGGGTGAGCGTGAGCCCTCCGCACGGAGGAAGACGGGAGGGGGATGTGGGGTTCTCACTCCCCTGCCTCGGAGATTCGATGATCATTCTCCTCCTTCATACATACACACACACATACACACACATGCTCACACACACACACATGCTCACAAACACATGCTCACATACATTCATGTACACATGCTCACACACACTTGTGCACACATGCTCACACAACATGCTCACACACATACACACATATGCTCACACACACGCTCACACATGTACACACACATGCTCACACAATGTTCACACAACATACACACATGTACACATGCTCACACACTCATGTACACACACTCTCACACCCGTACACACACATGCTCATACACACGCTCAAACACATACACACATGTTCACACAACATGCTCACAAACACACTCAATGTATACTTGCTCACACACATTCACGTACACACATGCTCACAGACCCATGCTCACATACGTACACGCACATGCTCACACATATGTGCTCACATACACTCACAAACACACACATGCTCACACATATACACTCTCTCACACACACAAGCTCACACACGTACACACATGCTCACATACACACGTACACACACACTCACACGATGACAGGCATGCATAACCACAAGCCGGTACAGACGTAAGAGCAGATGCACACCCAGGGGCTCAATGGGCTGAGTGCATGCTCTGCACACAGAGGGCCTGAGCTCTATCCCTGGCACTTGATGGTCCCCTGAGTCCCCTGAGTACTGGACCAGGAGTAGCTCCATTGCAAGTGTAGCCCCTTCAAAGAAAAAAGCACCTATGAACACAAGACCACATGTTTTGCTTGTCAGTTGAAAGCTCTCTCCAGACTCCTAGCTCATCTCTCATCCAATTTTGGTACCACCTGCCTTCTTCTTGACAAACAGAGGCGATGGACAAACCCCAGCCCGGGCAGGATGTGGAGGCAGGCCAGGAAGAAAGACATAAGCCACAGGGGCCAGAGAGATAGGACAGAGGGTAGGGCGCTTTTGCCTTGCATGTGGCCAACCTGGGTTCCATTCCCAGGATCCCATTCGGTCCCCTGGGCACTGCCTGGCGTGACTCCTAAGTGCAGTAGAGCCTTGAGCATTGCTGGGTAGGGCACAAAAGAAAAAAGAAAAAAGAAAGGAAGACATAAGCCAGACAGGTGCAGTGTCTGGGCGTGGCTCTTGTGTAAAACCCACCACCTCAGTGCCCCCTTGGGAGCCTCCATGAGCAGAACCAAAGTCAGGTCCCATGTGGCGCTCTGCCCAGCACCCAGCAAACGCCAGGTGCTCAGATGGCGTCAGACCCATGGACGCACCCTGGGGTCCTCCCCCAGCCTGCCGTCCCCCTCCATGCCCATCCTGAGTCTCCGATAAGACCTTGAGCATGTGACCGGAGGGATGTCCCTCTCTTTTCCCTCATCACACAGGGCTCCCGCTTGAAACCTGGGCCCCCCCAGACTCATTGCTTCTCCTTTGCTCGGTCACTGCTGGGTTTCCCTACTCAGGGCAGCTGCCTGGTCCCCGGGGACTGGGCGATGAGTCTGAGCTGAGCCGGTCCACTCTCCCTCCAGGGAGCCACGGCTGAGCGCTGGCCACTGATGTCTCATCTGAATAGTTGCACACTCACACTGACTGCTTCTTGCTGCTATCTGTTCTGGGCAGACAGAGGCTTGGGGAGAGGAATCACATCCCTGTGTAGGCCCAGGGAAAGCGACCCGGAAGTCCTCCTTCCCAAATCAGGACAGTGAGTGACTGGCCCTGTTGTCCAGCTCCTTGATGACTGACCAGAGGTACTTCAGGGGTTCCCAGAATCACTCCAGCCCCAGAGAGGGGGGGTGCTGGCACCTACTTGTGGAATGAGTGAATGAGCACACACATGCACGCACGCACGCACCCAGGCCTGGGAAGCCAGCATCCCCTGATGCTTGCCAGGTCACAGAGCACACACACAGGTGACCCGGGCTCTATGGCCTCCAGACCCAGGACTGCACCCTGGGTGGGGGCCCACCTGTGTACTGGCCTTGGAAGGTGACCCTGTCCGGCCTCCTGGCGCCACTCGCTGCTCTCGCTTCATTGGGAGCTGCCTGCCTGTGGTCCTTGCTGAAGCTTTCGCTCTTCTTCGGGGACAGGTGGAGGAAGCTCGGCTCAGATTCGGAATCTGGGGAGGTTAAGAAGGGAGCAGAGGATGGAGGCCACACGTGTGGCTGGACGAAGTGGGGCTGCCCCGGGTTCGAACACTTGGCTTGGAATCCCTGGTCTGATCCTTCGTTAAGAACAGAGAGAAAAGGCCAGAACAGTGGCTGGACGTGGGCGGGCCATGTCATGCCCCTGCTCGCCCAGCAGGGGGCACTGTTCAAGGTCCCCCTTATTTATTTTTTCATTTTTTTCTTTTTGGGTCACATCCAGCGATGATCAGGGGTTACTCCTGGCTCTACACTCAGGAATTACTCCTGGTGGTGCTCAGGGGACCATATGGGATACTGGGAATCGAACCTGGCTTGGCCACGTGCAAGGCAAAACGCCCTACCCGCTGTGCTATTGCTCCAGCCTCTAAAGGTCCTGTTTAACAGGTCCGAATCATCAAGCACAGAGCAGGCCACGGGCCTGACAGCCAGGAAGGTGGGGAGCGGGGTGGGGCCCAGGCTGAGATTCCACAGAGCTTCTCCTTCCAGCAAGCTACTGTGCCTGCAGCTCTGGGTCCTTCTCTGCAGAACGGGGGTGATGGGAGCCCCACCTACCATGCGCCGAGGTGGAGGAGCAAAGGCTGTCCTAGCGAGCACGTGTGTTACAGAGCCCCCGGGACACATGCTCCGCGTGTACCCTCAGCCACAGTGGTGCTGCCTAAGCCCTGAGCCCTGAGCATCAGCCCTCCCCCCCATCTCCGATGGACTTGCCATCAGTCCCAGCCGACGGTCACTTACTCAGGGGCTGTCGGGGCATCTCCCGCGGCATTGAGGAGGACCTGGCTGGCCGCCGTCCTGTGGGGACAGCTTGCTCGGCACCTCCGGGCTCCCCAGACAATCTCTCTGTGGATTTACTAGTGGAAGAGAGAGAGAGAGAAAGAGAGAGAGAGAGAGAGAGAGAGAGAGAGAGAGAGAGAGAGAGAGAGAGTTGCTGCACGCAGTCTTTGCCTTTGGAAGATGATCAGCTAGAAAACCCGCCAGGAGACAAGTGATGAACAGAGAGGGGCACACAACTGGCAAAACCACAGGCGCCGGGGCCTGTCCCAGAGACTCGGGGTCTCTCTGTTTCCTTGCCTGCCGAGTGAGAGTAAGAACAGCCAGGACTACCGGGAAGAACATCCCAAAGAAGCTCAGGGCAGGCAGGGCCAGCACCCATCTTGCAAACACGAGGTTGTGAGTTTGATTCCTGGCACCCACCCACATGTCCAGTACACTCTTGGTTGGTGACTCTGCTGTGTGGGCTTCCCTGGGGCCACCACAAAGCGTGTGACCTCTGAGGTTCTCGCCACCAAGACAATCACCAAAGAGAAAGGAAGGAAAAAGTTTTTTTAAAAAAATTAAAAATAAATGAGGGGGCCAGAGGGATAGTACAGTGGTTAGGGTGTTTGATTCGCACGTGGCCGACCCGGGTTCACCCCCCCAGCATCCCATATGGTCCCCCAAGCACTGCCGGGAGTAAATTCCTGAGTATAGAGCCAGGAGTAACCCTTGAGCATCACTGGGTGTGACCCAAAATGCAAAAATAATTGAATAAAAATTTTTTTAAAAAATAAATGGAGGGGCTGGAGTGATAGCACAGCGGGTAGAGCGTTTGCCTTGCATGTGGCCAACCCAGGTTTGATTCCCAGCATCCCATATGGTCCCCCGGGCACCATCAGGGGTAATTCCTGAGTGCATGAACCAGGAGCAACCCCTGTGCATTGCTGGGTGTGACCCAAAAAGCAAAAAAATAAAATAAAATAAAATAAATAAAAAAAAATAAATGGAAAGGAAAAGCATAAAGATTTTATGTCCTCATGAATGAATGAGCAAGTGTGAGAATGAAGGAACAAGCAAGTGGGTGGGAGGCCAGGGCCTTGGAGATGTCCTGGCACTGCGGTGGTTCCAGAGATGTTCGCTGCTGCATGGCCCTTTGTTCCTCTGAGCACAGAGCCTGGAGCGCACTCTCTGGTGTATCCCAGTCAGAGTGGGCAAGTGGCTGAATGCGGGACAGAGGACGTGCAGTGAGCAGCTGGGCACGGGGCCGAGGGGGCGGGGTGCCCTACCTGCCGTAGTGGGCGCCCCAGGTGGCTGAGGAGTCTGCTCGCCGCTCGCGCACTCTGGTGGGGCGCTCGTGGGTGGACGGGGGGGCGCGTGGGGCTGGCCTGGGGGGAGCGGTGCAGGCTGCCTTCCAGCCGTACCCGGAGCCGCGACACCTCCTCCTGCAGCTCCCGGATGGCCTGGCTGGGGGGGGGGGGCGGGGCGGGGGACGGGGGCAGAGACCAAGACACAAGCTCAGTGAAGCACAGTGACTGCAGTGACGGGGGCTCTGCCCCCCGGGAGGGCATCTGCCCACGAGTCTGTGGGTCGGAAACTCTCCCAGTCTCTGCTTCCCCCCCACCCACACACACACACACGCTCTGGGCTCATGTCCCTGCACATGCGCAGAGCAGAGCGGAACGGCCTGAGAGGGGCCTGTACATGTGCTCAGAGTCCCAGGAGTGCTGTCTGTCTCTCTTTTTCTCTCTCTCCTCTCTCCTCTCTCTCTCTCTCTCTCTTCTTCCCTTCCTCTCTTTTCCCCACCCTCTCTCTCTCTTCCCCTGCTCTCTCTTCCCCCTGTCTCTGTCTCTCCCTCCCTTTCTATCTCTGTATCTGTTCCTCCCTCTCCTTCTGTCCCTTTTCCTCTTTTCTCTCTCCCCCTTTCTCTCTGTCTCCCTCCCTCTCTCCCTTCCTCCCTCTCCCTCTCTCTCCCTCCCTCTCTCTCTCCCTCTTTCTTCTCCCCTCCTCTCTCTCCCCTTTCTATCTCTTTCTGTCTCTCTCCCTCCTTCTCCTTCTGTCTCCCTCTCTCTCTCCTCTCTCCCATCTCTCTATCTGTAAGTCTGTCTCCCTTTCTCTCTCCCTTCCTCCCTCTCGCTCTCTCTCTCCACTTTAAAATTTCAACTCTGCCTTGTCTCCCATCCTTCCCTTGTCCGCAGGAAGCCTAACTACCACCCCGGCCTGGATCCTTCCCCCTCTCCCCCCATGCCTTTCCTTCTGGGCTCCCCCAAACATCTCCTTGGTTACCCCAGTCTATCCCCTGCTCCTGGCAGAACTTGTCTGTCTGTCTGTCTGTCTGTGTACCCAACCAGGGAGCTGCTGAAAGGCAAGGAATACAGTCCCCCTTTGTCACACCCCGCAACCTTACAGCTCACAGCCATTTGCTCGCAGACCATCCCGAAACTGGCGTCCCAGACAGCCAAGGGCTAAGGGAGGGGAAGGGACCCAGCGACAGAGCCCACCTCTCATCTCCCCTGAAAGCGCATGCGGGAAGGCCTGTGGGAAGGCGTGGGGCACATCTGCCAGGCTGCTGGGTGAGCCCCAAACAGATGACCTCGAGAAGCCCCAACCACTTCGCGAAGAAAACCTGCAATTCCCTCCAGCCGGCCCTGCACCCGCCCGCCTCTGGGCCGGAACTGGAAGGAGGAGCGCCCCCCCACCTCCTGCCCAGCACCCAAACCCTGACCCACGGGCCCCAGGTGCCTGGGCTGGGCATGGCTGTCCATCCTCCCGGCTGGTGCAGCCCCTGCAGGTTCACTGCGGACCAGCCCCGAGTGTGGGGCCCCTTCTCCCTGCTCCATGCCTGCACCCCTGCGGCTCTCAGGAGAATGCAGGTGGGGGTGGGCTGAGCCCCAGCCTCGGGCAGGGTGCAGGGAGCAGCGAGCCCTGAGCGTCCAGGACAGAAGGTCTCCGTGGCAACCCCAGGGAGACGCCTGTTGGGGTTTCCAAGGCGGAGCCTGGTGGCTGCAGGAAGGGCTCCCTGTGCCAACTACTCCCAGCACAGCGGGCACAGGCGGGGGCTGCACTCAGCCCACAGAGGAGCTAAAGCCCACGGCCAGAGGGCACCGGGCGTGCCAAGCCCTCTGGGGGTCCCAGCTGGGCTCGGGGCTACTCCTGTCCTGGTGGCATTTCACACCCTCCCTGCAAACGATCTCTGAGCCAGCTGGGAAACTAGCCGGACATCAGGGTCATCCTAGAATCTTCCCCTTCCAGGGGTGGGGGCTCTCTGAGGGGCTTGGGCCAGGTCCAGCCAGAGTTGGGGGCTGGGACCAACAGGGCTGGGGGTCTCCAGATTGGCAGCAGGCAGAGTGAGGGGAAGCAGCGGCCAGGGCGGGGCACGTGGGATCAGGGGAGCAACTCGGGGCTTCACAGAGCTCAGCTCGTCCCGGCCCCTCAAGCTGCCCCTGGCTGCATCCAGGTGAGCCCGCGGCCATCAGGGACTCTCGGGGCAAACCTCGAGCCAGACCTCCTCCCAAACCTCTGACCAGGCCACTGAAGGGGCCCCGGCGACTGCCCGGCTCTCCTCCCCACCCAACCCAACCACCACACCCTCCATGACTCATCACCCTCACTTTATACTGTGTCATCCGGCTGGAATGACTGCTTTCCCCTGACAGGTGCCAGGGCTCTCACCTCTACACCTGTGTGTGTGCATACACACACACACACACACACACACACACACACACACACACACACACACCATTCCCTCCACTGAGGACATTCTTCCATCGTTCCTGAGATTGAATGAGATGCCACTTCCTCCAGGAAGGAGTCCAGGAAGCCTCTCACTGGCTGGGCTAGCTGTGCTCTCTCAGCCCTTGGACCCTCACTGTGCCTGTCACTCTGGGGAACGACCCCCCAGTGCTTCATCCCTCCTGCCAGGGCACAGATGGTGTCTCATGCACTGCCGTTTTCCACAGCTTGGCGGGTCAGGAGCCTCTTCGCACCCTGGAGAGGATGCTCAGGATAACTGCCCGGCTGCCTGGCCAGCAGCTGGACCCCACTGCACTCCCAGCACACGAGGCCTCGGAGTGTTAACTCCCGCCAAGTCCTTGGCCCTGCATTCAGCTAAGACGTGCGATCCACGGCCACCCCCTCCCCCTGCAGCCCCATTTCTGTTCAGCCACTCAAGAAGCAACGTGCTGGGAGAACACGCAGAGGGGCCTTGAGAATCTCAGTGACACAGAGGGGGGTGAGAGCAGGAGAAGGGGCAGGGGAGCCCCTGGTCATTCCCCACTGGCTGGAGACAGGGCCCAGGTCCCCCTCGGTGGGACCCCACAGACACAGCGTGAGGCTGGCAGCCCCTGCTTCTCCAGGGACTCACTTTCCCACCTCTCATCAGGTGACTCTGAAGAGCCACAGAGCCCCGACAGACCGACCATCCGTCCATCCTACTTACTCTCGGCTGGTCCTGGTGAGGAGGAAGGCGGGGGTGGTCTCAGGGGCAGGAGAGGCAGGTGGGCTCATCACCACGCTGCCGGTGGGCTTCTCAGAAACTCGGCTGTGCCCCTTGAACTCCTCTGAGCCCGCAACTCCTGCAAGGGCTGCAAAAAGAAGCAAGTGAGTCAGCAAAGGAAGCTTGGGCGCCCCTGTGTGCAGCTGCAAGTCGGGAGAAAGAGAACAATGGGAAAAGCTCACCCCACCCTCCACCTCACGATGAAGCTCTGCGAGAGGCAAAGACTCCCCCTCTCCCCCACATACACACCTGGCCACGAGGCAAAGACTCCCCCTCTCCCCCACATACACACCTGGCCACGAGGCAAAGACTCCCCCTCTCCCCCACATGCACACCTGGCCACAAGACCCTGACAATGGGGCTGCAGGGGTCACCCAGGGCTGTTTCTAACCACATGCCTGCCCCATCCCCACTTCCAGCTTTTGGCCCAAGACTTCTGCCCACACCCCAACTCATGTTCCTCCAACGGGGTCCCCAGAATCTAGCTGTCATACGTGTCTGCCCCTGCTAAAACTACACATATACTTCCGCAGATGTCTGCAGGAGCAGCTTGTGACTTCAGCTTCTCAAAGGGCTGGTGACCGAGGGTGAAAACACACTCAAGGTGGCCCATGTGTTAACAAGGAGCCACCCAGGAGAGGACTCAAGGACAGGAGCACGCGCTTGGCACGCAGATGTCCTGGGTGCCCTCCCTGGCATTACCGAGAATGACCCCCAGGCACTGGGCTGGGGTGAGCACCACCGGATATGGACCCAGAAACTCAAACCCCCAAACCAGTGAGCTCCTGGAATGCTACTCATCACTATATAATAAGGGACAAACAAGAGGCCTGATGGTTCAGTGGGTAGGGCGCTCGCCTTGCCCATGCCAATCTGGGTTCGATCCCCAGCATTCCATATGGTCCCCCGATTACCACCAGAAGTGAGTACAGAGCCAGGAGTGACGCCTGAGCATCGCCGGGTGTGGTTCCCAAAACAAAAATAGCGAAAATTTTAACAAATAAGTAAAGGGGCAAACTAAAGAAAAGTGGAATGGTTTAGACAAAACAGTAGAAAATAGCACCAGGCAAGAACAGTGGGCTGGAGGCTTTGTGGCCAACCACTCTGCTGATACAAAGTAACTACGCTGGGACTCCCAGGAGCTCAGGAGCAGGTAGGGCAGGAGGGGGTAGGTAGGTCTCAGGGCAGCAGGGACCCCAGGGCACGGCTCTTTAAGGCCACTATGTCCATTTCAGCATCAGATTAGGAGTTGTGCAAGATGCCAGCATCTGGGGGAGGCGAGGGAGGATGGTACCTGGACAGCTGAGAACTGTCTCTTCTAACCATGTGAATCTACAACTACTTCAAAAATTAAAATCTATGGGAATGGAGCAATAGCACAGTGGGTAGGGTGTTTGCCTTGCACGTGGCCAACCCGGGTTCGATTCCCAGCATCCCATGTGGTCCCCCGAGCACTGCCAGGAGTAATTCTTGAGTGCATGAGTCAGGAGTAACTCCTGTGCATCACCAGGTATGACCCAAAAAGAAAGAGAAAAAAAAATCTAATCAGGGGACAGATTACTGGAATCACATGGTCCCCTGAGCACTGCAAAGAAGCAACACCCATACCTGAAGTCAGAAACGGTCCCCCAATACTGCTGGACGCAGCATAAAATAAGTAAAACAGAACAAAATAAGACAAGGGCTGGAGATACAGTCCGGGGGGTGGGGAAGACACATGTCTTGCATGTGGCTGACTGCCGGTAGATTCCCCAGCACCACATGGTGGAAAGGTCTAATGGTGGTGGGATTGGTATTGAAATATTGAATGTAATCCATTATTGTGAATAACCTTATGAAAATAACATTAAATTTTAAAAAATCATGGATTTCTATTCTTCCCCATGTATTTGTTTGCTTTCAAGAAAAAGTTCACATGCCCGTTTCAAAGGTCAAAACTGGGACCCCAGATTTTACAGTGATGGGAAAAATAAATAAATAAATAGATAGATAGATAAATAAACAAACAAGTGACGGAAAACAGTTCCAGGCTCAACTCTGAGCTGTCGGCTCTCAGATTCCCAGGAAACTCTGAAGTGTCCTTACAATAAACACATATCTTATATCAAATATATGTTTTGGTTTTTCTTTGAATTTTACTGCAAATGGCAAATTTAAGCCATACCATACTTTTTGGTCCAATTATCTATGGATGAGCACTTTGTTTAGCTATTATAAATAACATTGCAATACATTTTGGGATAGATATAGTTTTTGTAATTTTTTTTTTAATATTCACCTGGGAAAAACCTGAAAGTGGAATTGTTGGGTAACATGGAAGAGCTCTCACATCCATTTTCAAAATCAGTTGGGAAAAAAAAAAGACATTCCCCAGTGCTTCTTGGGGCTGGAGCGATAGCACAGTGGGTAGGGCATTTGCCTTGCACGTGACCAACCTGGGTTCAATTCCCAGCATCCCATATGGTCCCCTGAGCACCACCAGGAGTAATTCCTGAGTGCAGAGCCAGGAGTAACCCCTGTGCATTGCTGGATGTGACCCAAAAATCATCACTGAGTGTGATCCTTCTTGATCTGGTTGGTCACATTTGTACCCCGTGGGGATGTTTCGTTGTTAACATAACCTCTGGGTTTTTATCTGGCAGTGCCCAGGATGGAAGCTGGGCTCTCCCGCATGCAAAGCAGGTGCTCCGGCCTCTGTGGATTGGGGGTGGAATTCCTGATTTTGTGGCTTGAGCTCTGTTTGTTCTGTTTTGGGACCACACCTGGCTGAGCCCCGGGCATACTCCTGGCGCTGTAGTAGGGGTCACTCCCAGCGGGGCTGGGGACCATACAGGGCTCCAACCCAGGCTGGCCGTGTGCAAGGCCAGCACCTGACCTGCTGCTCTATCCATCCAGCTGCTGTGGAACAGACCTTTAACTCCTGCCACCCAGCCACCCCTGGGTTCTGCCCTGCCCCGGTGCCTCCACTCACCTGTCTCGGCCGGCAGGGGCGGCTCCAGGCAAAAGCTGGGTGCCCTGTGCCGGAGGGGGCTCTGCGGGGCCGGGGGGTGCCTCGGGGCTCGGCTCCTGGTCAGGTTGGGCTCGGAGGCTCGTCTGAGGGCCTGAGGGTCCCTGGTCTGGGAGGTTCCAGGCCAGGCTGCAGGCGTGGTGAAGGACTGGGTCAACGTCCTTGGGGTGCTGGGGGTCCCGGAGGGGAGAGACGTGCTGAGGAGAAACACAGAGACCAGGGGGCTCCAAGCTCGGCCATATGCTGAACCAGTGAGATTCTGGCCCCAAAGCCGGAAAAGCCTAGGATACCTCAAGGTACCCCCGTGATGCACGCATTGCTTTTCTTTTCTTTTCCTTTCTTTCTTTCTTTCTTTCTTTCTTTCTTTCTTTCTTTCCTTTCTTTCTTTCTTTCTTTCTTTCTTTCTTTCTTTCAAGTTTTATTAGTGAAACACCACGAGGTACAGTTGCAGACTTACAAATTTTTGTGCTTGGGTTTCGGTTATACAATGATTGAGTACCCACCCTTCCACCAGTGCCCATCCTCCACCTCCAATGCTCCCAGTATCCCTTCCACCCCCCCCATCCCCCCCATCCTATCCCGCCTCTGTGGCAGAGCATTCCCTTTTGTTCTCTCTCTCCTTTTGGGTGTGTTGCTTTCTGAACTGTGGAGTGGCATGCCACCCGCCCTGGCTCATAAACGGATGAAGCTCAGTTTCATGGTTAAGAACTAGGGAGCTGGAGCAAGAATTCAGTGGGTAGGGCATTTGCCTTGCACACGACCGACCCAGGTTCGATTCCCAGCATCCCACCCCTTTCACCTGCATCCCTCCCCAGGCAGACCCCTGGTGGCCCCTCTCCTGCATGATGCTCATTGCACTCCACCGTCCCCTAGTGTTCATTCATTCACCAGCCCCACATTCATTCATTCATTCATTCATTCATCCAGCCAACGCTCTTCTCCAGGTCTCTGGCAACTTGGCTGGGTGACCCTGGGCCCATCGCTTGCCCTCTCTGTGGCTCTGTTCTCCTCCCTCAATACCATGAGGTTTGTGCAGGGGCTGAGAGCTCGGAGACTGCCCAGACCACGCACTCCTCTTCAGGGGTGCCCAGGTTAACCTGGTGTGACACGGACAGGATAATGGTGGGAGATTCCCCGGCCTACCTGATGTGGGCAAGCCGGTGCTCCGGGGTCTGGGTGAGGGGGGACACCCGGCTGGTCTCGGAGCCCACAAAGCCACTGTCTGTCTCTGGGGATGCCATCCAGGGCTCCTGAAAGAGGCAGTGTTCCTTTAAGAGTGTGGAATGTGCCAGGGCAGCACATTCCAGAGCCTTCCAGATGCTGAGGCTGCTCAGCTCCCACTGAAGGCTCAGACTGGGGAGGGGGGGTGATGGGGGGGCTGTGTCAGGACCTTGCAAAGGTGCCAGGTCCACAGCACGCAGCACTGCTCCCCCAGGGAGAGACTCTGAGCTGAAGAGCAGGAGGAGGAGGAGCAGAAACCACCCCCAGACCAGGCTGCTCCTCCTGCGTCCCTCAGCCCCCTCAGCCCACATTCAGGCCCAGGGACCGGGGAGCCAGAGGCCAGCAAACACGCACAGCCGCGCCCCCTTCACACACACTGGGGCCGAGGCCAGGGCAGAGAACATGGACACGGCAGGCGGCGCCAATACTGCCCATGAGGGCCTGGGCAGGTCCTCTCTGCTCCTGGTCCCTGGGGCAAGCACACGTGTGTGTGCATGTGTGCATGTATGCACCAGTGGGCCTGTGTGCCAGTGTGTACATGCGTGTGCCTGTGTGTGCATGTGTGTATGTGCATGTCTGTGGGTCTGTGTGCCTGGGTGTCAGGTGTGTGTGCATGTGTGCATGTGCACACCTGTGGGTCTTTGTGTATCTATGCCAGTGTATAACACGTATGTGCCTGTGGATGTGCATGTGTGTATGAGCACACTGTGTGCCTGTGTCATGTGTGTGCATGCATGTATGCGCACACCTGTGGGTCTTTGTGTATCAATGCCAGTGTGTACGTGTATGTGCCTGTGTATGTGCGTATGCTCACGTGCTCATGTGGGTCTGTGTATCTGTGTGTGCACGTATATGTACATGTGTGCATATCTGTGGGTCTGTGTGCCAGTGTATACATGCATGCGTCTATGTGTATGTGCATGTGTATATGTGCACGCCTGTGGGTCTGTGTGCCTGTGTGGCAGGTGTGTGTACATGTGTGCATGCGCACACCTGTGGGTCTTTGTGCATCTATGCCAGTGCGTAACATGTTTTTCCCTGTGTATGTGCGTATGTGTATGCTCATGCCTTTGGCTCTGTGTACCTTGTGTGCAAGTGTGTGTATGTGTACACCTGTGGCTCTGTGCCCGTGTGATGTGTGCATATATGTGTGGACATCTGTGTGCACAGGATAGTGAGTGTGCGTGCATGTGAGTGCACACAATTCTACAGGCGGTTCCACAGCAAACATCACATTTTTACAGCTGTGAGCTCATTGAGAAATCGCTGCTGAGGGAGGAGCCGGGAGATAACAAGGCGGTCAGGGCACGTGCCTAGCATGTGCCCAACCTGGGCTCTATTCCAGCACCACATGGTCCCCCAAGAATCCCTGGGTGCAGCCCTGGAGAACCCGGCACTGCCAAGTGCGACCCTGGGGATGCCAACACCCCCGTGGTTGCCAGGAGATCCCAGCACTGCGACACTTCATCCTCAGGCCCTTGTGCTGTCAGGACCATCAGTCTTGATGAACCAACAGCCTTGCTGGCTGAGAATCGTGGAGGCCCCAATTCTCTGAGCACTACTCGGGAATGCCCCAATTACTGTTACTGGGGACCAGGTGATAGTTCAAAGGGCTGGAGCCCATGCTGGTCCCCTGGGAAACACCAGCAGTGTCACCTGTGTGTAAATGGTGCTGCAAACGGTCCCCAAACATGACTGGGTATGGCACCTCCCCCCCAATCACTGTCCTCATGGTACAAACAGGCAGGGAGCAAAGACTTGCTGCCCAACTGTACCCGGCTGACCCTGAGAAATGCAGGGAGCAAATGCTGAGAGCAAGACAATGCAAGCTCAGGAGGAACCAGCCCCTGCACAGAAAGCAACAGCCACAAGGTGGCATGGGGCAGAGTCCGAACTTTGAGCAGGGCATGAGGGCAGGCATGGGCATCACCCCAGGAACCGCGTGAGCAAAGGCCAGCAAGCTGGAGACTGTGGGCACTGCGGGAGAGGCCGAGACCCCCTTGGGGCCACTCACCTCTGGGTGGGGCCGGCCAGTGCGGCGTGGAGACTTCCGGGACAACTGCTCGGTGCTGCTGCCGCCCTCCAGGCTGCTCAGGCTGCTCTCGTGGGGGCCCCGAGGCGGGGGTGGCCTGCCCGGTCCCGGAGCAGCTGTCTCGGCCTTGCTCAGCCCTGAAGGGTGCCTATCCCGGGCACTGGGTACACGGAAGGTGGGTCTGCTCCCGGATGCCATTTGCTTGGCGGTGTCCCTGGCAGGGAAGAAGAGGTGTGCCAACCCAGAGACCAGGACACCGGCTCTGGGGTCAGACCCCCATCCCGGGGGGTCCAGGCCAGGCCTGCCACCTTGGATCTGTGTGACTGTGGGTAAGGCACCTCCACAGTGGAATTTCAGCCGTCGTCAGCTGTCTAATGTGGGTGCCAAGAAAACTTTTACCCGCCCCGTGGTTTGGAGGAATAGCGCGGAAAACAGCTGAGGTGCTTTCTCTCCAAGGCTCTAGCACGGAGTGGCCACATCACTGTCCCTGGGTGGCCATTTTCATAAACTCACGTCCACTCCTGAAGCCTGAGGTCAGGCTTGTAAATAGAAGGGCTTACAGACAGAAACTAAAATAAAACGCTAAAACAATGGCTTCTGAGAGCTCTTGGTCTTCTCCCTAAGGGGCTGCTCACCCACGGCTCACTGAGTCAGCCATTCACACACTCATCCACTCATTCATCCTGTCGCTCACTCATCTATCTATTCATCCATCTCTCCATCCATTCATTATTCACTAACTCAACATTCAGCTACTCATTCATTCACTAGTTCACTCATCCGCTCATTCATCCACTCACACGCTATCCATCCATCCATTCATGAACTCGCCGTTCATCCATTCATTTCTTCACTAATTCATTCATCTGTTCACTCATTCACTCACTCATCCATCCATCCATAAATCCTTTGACTCCCTCACTTATTATCCATCCAACCTCTCACTCACTGATTCATCCATCCACTCATCCACTCATACATTCACCCATCCATCTATCCATCCATTCGTTATTCACATACTCATCGTTCGTGCATTCATTTATTCACAAACTCATTCATTCGCTCATTCATTCCACCACTCATTCATCCATCTATTCATCCATCCATCCATTTATCCATTACTCACTAACTCATCCTTCATCCATTCAGTCACTCACTAATTCATCCACTCACTCATCATCCAGTCACTCACTCATCCATGTACTCCTCCTATTCACTTACCATTCATCCATTCATTTGTTCACTCACGATCATTCACTCACTCGTTCATTAACCTCCGCATTAAAGACAATAGAGCTCTAGTGAGACTTTCTCCATGATGGACTTAGATGGTCGGAGGCTAGAGGCGGTTCCCTGACATACTTGAGGGGGGCCTTGTGACTTCTCCCAGTGTGTGTTGAGGGGAGTCTGCTGGGTTCCATGTTCTCCAGAGCAGCCCCCCGGTCAACTTCCAGGGTGCAGTCCTGCCCCTCCTGCTCCTCCTCGTCCTCCTCCTCCCTCCTCAAGGCTTCCGGGCGCGACTTCACATTCAGGTACCTGCAAGAGTCACAGACAGGGTGGCGGCTCGGCAGATGCAGCCAAGAGCAGCCCCTGGGCAGACCCCCTCTCCACCCCCTCTCCCCTCAGCCCGTCCTGAGGTCCTCACCGCTCCAGGAGGCCATGGAAGTCCTGCTCCATCTGCCTCTCCTTGTGCCTGGGCGAGGCCGGGCCACCCAGCCCCTGTTCCTCCTCCGCTTCCTCCTCGCTGCAGTCCATACCCGCCTCCCTCCTGGCCTGTGGCCAGTGGGGGCTTGTGCTGGTGGCCTCTGGCTGTGGGGCCAGAGAGATGGAGGGGCAGAGGTCGGATGGGGGCCTCACTCACCTCCACTTTTCAAGGGCTGGGTCCGGGCAGGCACCAGGGAAACAGACCAGATCCATGATGCAACCCCCCTCTCCCATTGTGCAGGAGGTATGGGGCCAAAGTCATGAGGCCAAGGTCACAGGGTCAAGGTCATGAGATCAAGGTAATGGGCCAAGGTCACAGGAATACAATACCAGTCACATGCCATAGTCAGCTTCATAGTCAATAATGAGACACATAGATGAACACCATCCCCTCTAGCGTTGCTGAGCTCAGGGGGTGTCACCGGCTCTAGCACCCAACCCATCTTGTCACACCTGGGAACAGTCCCATGACTGCCAATGGTATTTCACAGAGGAGCTCTGTCATCAAAAGCCCCTGTCTGGACCCTACCATTAGCTGAGCACCTACTTATTCCAAGCCACACAGTGCTCAGCCCTCTCTGATGCTCACGGCCCCGAAGCAGAGGGTCCTCCCACACCCTTAACAGGCAGGAAACTGAGACTCAGCTGACTTCCTCACTCACCTCTCAAGAAGGGGGCAGTGCTGAGGTGACCTCAGGCACATGAGGCCTGAAGCCTCTTTCCCTAGCCCCTTCCTTTCCAGTACAAGCACCCCAAGACGTTCCCTGCTCAAGACAAGGCTCTGGGTTTCTATCTGCCAGGGGGTGCCTGGGAGAAGCACCCAGGTCTCAGTAGTACAGCGGTCAAGTGTTTATCTTGAATGCAGCTGACCTGGGTTCAGTCCCCAGCACCACATACGGTCCTCCGAGCCCAGCAGGAATGATCCCTGAGCACAGAGTCAGGAATAAGCCCAGAGCACGACTGGGCATGGCCCCCCAAAAGTAGCAACAAACAAAGAAGCGCCGTCATCTGTGGGGCTGAGCATGGCGTGAGAAGTAGCTCTCCCTGACCCCCACCCCCACCCAGTCCCCCCAACATGGGACCACCCGGCCCCAGCTACCATGAACAATATCCCACAATGCCCAGGCCTCGCTGCCACGCCCTATGGGCAACCTTGGCTCCTATCTGATCCCCAACTTCTCTGCCACCGAGCAACAGGGCACGCAGACCCGTCTCTGCCACCTGCGCCCCTCTGCAGCCATGTCTCCCGGGGGGCACGGGAGCTGGAGGGAAGGTACAAGTCGCTTTCCCAGACACCCCTGGGCTGGAGCCCCCATCCTTGCCAGAGCCCCCAAATCCATCCGACAACACAAGGAAGGCACAGGCTTGGAGGTGGCCCCTGGCTCCCTCCCGGCTCCCCCTGTCCCCCACCCCCATCACCCTCATCCAGTCAGAAGCATCTTCTAGGGGGTAGTGCTGCACTGTGGCACTGTCCTCCCATTGTTCATGGTTTTGCTCGAGCAGGTCCAGTAACGTCTCCATTGTGAGACTTGTTGTTACTGTGTTTGGCGTATCGAAAATGCCACAGGGAGCTTGCCAGGCTCTGCTGTGCAGGCAAGATACTCTCAGTAGCTCTCCAGGCTCTCCGAGAGGGGCAGAGGAATCAAACCCGGGTCGTCTGCATGCAAGGCAAACGCCTTACCCGCTGTGCTATCGCTCCAGCCCCTTCTATGGGGTAGATGTGATAATACAGCAGGTAAGGCATTTGCCTTGCACGCAGCTGACCCGGGTTCGATCCCCAGCATCCTCTAGGTTCCTCTGAGCCCTGCCAGGAGTAATCTCTAGGTGCAGAGCCAGGAGTAAGCCCTGAGCACTGCCAGGTATAGCCCCCAAACAAAACAAAAGCAAACAAAAAAAAAGTGCCTTCTAGACCTTTCCGCTCCCCCTGCACTGCCCTCCCCCGGTCCCCACCACAAAGGTGGTTTCATCACCCTGGCTAAAGACCCCAGGACTCTAAGGTACCCAACCAGCGACTTCTCCATGATGGCCGCACCCCCTTCCCTGGCTTTGCCTGCAGGAGGGGCTTTAGCACACTCCCTGGGCTGCTCCCCACCTCACCCCCTGGTTCCTACCTGCTCCTCCCACGCCCTCCTGTCTGGCTCCCTGGAACTTCTCCTCCCCTGTGACTCATCATTTAGAGTCGTGGCAATGTACGGGGGTCACAGTGAGTGGCGAGGGATCTCCTGCCAGGAGCGAGCACTGCCCCCCAGGGGAGTCTCCGAGCCTCTGTTGTGTTCCTGCTGAGTGCCATGCACCCAGGTCCCGGCCCAGGGTGGGTGTGTGGGGCAGTGAGGAGTGAAGCATGGAGGGGTGGGCAGGCACAGCTGAACAGGGGGCAGGTACCTGGGCTGGGCAGACTGTCTGCCTGGCCGGCTGCGTGGGCTGCAGGGACCGGGGTGTGGCGGGGGAGCTGTCCAGAGGCGGGGCCCAGCCCTGCAGCGATGACGATGGCTCAGACACCTGCTGGTTCTGGTCCAGGTGGTCCTTCAACTCCTCCAGGCGAATTCCCAGCTGGAAGATCTCTGACTCCAGCTCCCTGAGAACAGAGAAGCCATGAGCGAGCAAGAGAAGGGACCCCAGAGCAGGCCCGGGACGGGGTGGGGTGAGGCTGGGGGAGCATAAATGCCTCTGTGTTGGGATAAAGAGGGAGCAAACGAGATCCAGGTGGACTCCGCCCCTTCCCCTGGCTGTGGGACCCAGAACAAGTCCTTCTGGCCTCAGTTTCCCCATTCACCCACAAGGGATTTCAGCCTATCCCCACAGCCGCCCCTCACGGCAGACGGGTCAAGGACGTGCAGCTCAATCTCTCCTTTGGAAGCACTGAGCACTGGGCGAGGAGCAGTCCTCCCCATGCCCCACCCCCGAGTCTCTGCATGCCGAAGCAGGAGCTGAGCGCTGCCTCCCAGAGACCCGGGCAGCCACCCACCTGCCAGGATCGAAGGTCCCCGGGGTGCACTTGGAGCCGGCCTGCTGCGGGGACCGGCGTTGCGCCCTGCACGCCTGCAGATACTCCTCCTCCAGGGCCGCGTGGGCCGCCTTCAGCCGCTGGAAGCCCTGCAATCAAGCAGAGCAGAAGAGTGGGTGCCCCGTGCCCACAGGCATCGTCCAGGCAGATACAACGCTGGAGACCATAGTGTGTGAGGGCCTGGGGAAATGGGGTTCACGGGACTCACCCTGGGTCTGCAAAGGCCAGGGGGTGCCCACGTCCCCAGGAGACAGTGGCCAGAGGTGCGAGGAGTCACAGGAGCCAGCCTGCCCGTGTAGGTCAAGCTCTTTGCCATCAGACTGGCACAGCAGGGACCCAGCTCAGCGTGTTGGCACCAGCTTCTGAGGCCCCACTGACCTCCCTGGGGTCCCCAACATTCCGTGGCAGTTGCAGCATCACACACACTCCCAGAAGCCCCCACCCCCAAAACCCTCATTCTGGACTTTCAGTTGCAGGTTTGGGGTCTTTCATCTCTCCCCGGCATGGGAGCCACCATCATCACTGACTGGGCTGGTCGCAACAGAAAAAGCTGCCGAACAGGCAGGCACCAGGTCGGAGCCTCCCCCCTCCTCCAAGAAAGCCCTCCAAGAGGGTCCCTGGCCACCTCCAGTCAGAGAAGGGGACGTGGAAGCACAGAGAGGGCGTGGCGGGGCACGCAAGTTGTGGCCAAGACTGGCTCCTGGTTGTCAAAACCAGTAAGAGGCGGCCCGCAGGTGATGGTCAAGGCTGAAACATGGGGGCAAATCCCCATTGCAGGCTGACCACCCCCAGCCCACTCACTCGGTTCAAATAACAGACTGAGGACCCCTAGAGAGCCTCGTTCCCCACCTTCCAACTCCCTGGGGAGCGGGGACTGGTCTGGAGGGGGAAGGAAATGAAAGGGTTAATCCTCTGTGAGACAGGGGAGAGAACCCGGCCCCAGACTTAGAAAGTGCTCTGTGCTGCTGACATGACACACCGTCGCGGAAAATATGCTACCATAAAAATATATATATATATATATATATTTTGTTTATTTGGGGCCCTCTATGCTGGGTATGCATATAGTTACAGAAATAGGTATGCTTAATTTAAAAGATTAACTGGCTAAGCCCGAAGAGAGGAGCTGGGTGAATGCTTTATGGGTGTTCTCTCTCCTGGAAAGCCAGCATTCTGGAAGCTTCTGTCACCTTCTTCCCGTTGCAACCTCTCCCTGTGAAAATTGCTTTGAGTTAAATCGACTTATTAGTCTTCTGCACCTACAGCTACTAGCCCCAACTGCTAGGGAATAGCCCGTCCTGGTTAAATCTCTGTAAACGTTTGCCCTTGTTCTTCTGATGGTTGTTGATTTCAGACAATCCACAAGAAGACATGTGATGCATCAAAAATAGTAGGAACTGGGGCTTGGAGTGACAGCACAGCAGGAAGGGTGTTTGTCTTGCACACGGCCAACCTGAGCACCGCCAGGAGTAATTCCTGAGTGCAGAGAGCCAGGACAAAAGCAGAAAAAAACCCAAAAAACTCTCATCCGCTGATTGTGGGAGTGTTGTCTGGTATGACCCCTGTAGAAAACAGTATGGAGAGTCCTCAGTAAACTTAGAGTTGAAGTGCCATATGGCCCTGCAATACCACTTTGGGGCCTCTAGCTCTCTCAGAAGGACATATGCACACCATAATTCATTGTTGCATGGGTACACATGTATGTGCTAAAATACAGACTCAACCTAGGTGTCCAACAACAGATGAATGGATTATAAAGACATGATATATATATACATACATATATATATATGGATATATATATATGCAATGGAATACTACGCAGCTACATGGAATGAACAAATCATGCAATTTCCTGCAACCTGGCTGGAACTGGAAGCGTCTGTCTGCAACCTCTTCCTGTAAAAATTGCTTTGAGCTAAATCCACTTTAGCTATGACAATAATGTTGAGTGAAGTAAGCCAGAAGAAAAACAAACACAGACTCACTTATCTGTGGTATACAGATTACTGGATGAGGGAAAGTACCGTAGTAAAAGGGGGATGCCTTGATCAATTTTAACCCCAGTGTTTAGGGAGGAGCTCAGAGGAGGAAAGAAACCAAGAGGAGTGGGGGGGGGGGCAATAACAGGAAGTAATGGGTAAACACAGGCATCAGAGTTTCAGTTATACTGGTGATGTGGGTGAGTGCTGTAGTCATACATCCAAACACAGAGTCAACACAACTGAAAACATGAGCTCTGAGCTGCAACCACTGAAACTCTGTCATGTGCCCGTCAAGTTGACAGATGGGGCTGTGGGGGCGGGGATGGTGGGTGGGGAGGGAATCTGGGAACACTGGGGGAGGGAAGTTGACACTGGTGGTGGGATTGGTGTTGAAATATTATATGTCTAATTTTTTTTTCTTTTTGGGTCACACTCGGCAATGCACGAGGATTACTCCTGGCTCTGCACTCAGAAATTACTCATAGTGGTCCTTGGGGGACCATATGGGATGTTGGGAATCGAACCCGGGTCAGCCACGTGCAAGGCAAACGCCCAACCCACTGTGCTATTGCTCCAGCCCTGAAAATTTATATGTCTAAAATATTTATGTCTAAAATTTATGTTAAAATATATGTCTAAAATATTATATATCTAAAATATTATATGGCTAAAACTCAACTCTCAGTAACTTTGTAAATCACAGTTCTTTAATTAAAAAAAGAAGGCATGTGCTGGAGAATCAGGGCTCTTGGTATGCAAGGCTGAACCCCCTGACCCCACGCTTTTGTGTCCTGCATCTGTCTTGTCTGCTTCATCCTTGCAGTAGCCCTGCTACAGACCTGTTTACCCAGGGCTGTGCCTGGCACTGGCCCCGGTCGGTGCGAGAGGCTCCCTCCTGAGGTACCCTGGAGTCTCTGTGGCACGGGGACTGAACCCAGGCCTCCTTCATGCACAGCCTGAGTCAGTCTAGGGCGCCACCTTCCTCCCCTGGTAGCGTTTACACTGACGATGGTCACAGAGTGTTGTTGGGCTTCTTACTCTTGATTGTGGGCTTGTCTGTTTGTTGGGGGACACACCCAGCAAACTGGGCTCCCCCTGCTGGGTCCCGGGGGTGTGACCAGTGGGAGCCAAGACAAGAGCCCAGGAGGGGAGGTGCCCGGCCAGAAAGAAAGAATCCTCGATAGGTCCAGCTTTGATGCCACAAGTTCCCAGGCGCCCAGCTGGGAGAGCTCCCCCTGCTCTGTCCTGCGGCCCTAGCCAATGGGGCCACCATCTAATATGACACAGGCCCACAGTGATCTGGAGCTACAGAGTCCTAAGGGCAACAGCCCAGTTCAATGAGGGATCTCGCTGCTTTGGTCGTTTTGGAGTGGTTATTTTGTTTGTTTTGTTTTGTTTTGTTTTATGGTAAAGAAACTACAAAAGGGGCCGGAGATAGTCCAGGGGTGAAGGGGCTTGACTAGCCTGCAGCTGACCCCCGCTTGATCCTCAGCATCCATTGGGTTCCCCCAGCACTGTTGGGAGTGATGCCTGAGTTCTGAGTCAGGGAAAAGCCCAGAGCACTGCTGGGTGTGGCTCCCAACAAACCGACAAGCCCACAACCAAGATACTACAGAAGGGGTGGATGGGGAGAGCTTGATGAGCTGTCCAGTGTGGCACGCTGCAGCCTTGCAAGTCCCCACATCCCCCCCAGCATCACTGGGAGTAACCCTTGAGCCCTGAGCCCCTCATGGGCCCCAAACCACCCGGACACTGCTGGGTGTGGCCCCCAAGCCAAGCAACAAGAAACTAGAAAGACAAGAGTTCTTTGCGGTTGCCGAGAGGCAGATGGATGAGCAGGGAGCAGGAGAGCCAGTGAGGACAGATGGTCTTGGGAATCAGACAGCCTTTAGACATCTGTCACTCTGCTCTGGGGTCCACCCCAGTTAACGGGTACTCGGGCAGAGATGGTTCCAACCTCCTTCCCTGGTTTCGGTGATAAAATGAGCAAATATAAGTGGCAGTCACTGTCCCTGGCATGCCACCATTGCTGTTTCACGAGCAGGAACTGGGTACCGGGAGTGACATCACTGGGGGAGTCAAGTGGGGGTGTTAGTGGAGTCTGGGATTCCTGAATATGTGACGCAGAGATGGGGCTATGGGGGAAGATGAGGCCGGGGCCGGGGCACTGGGGGGCTCCTGAGGGTACGGTACCTTGAGCTGGTCCTGGGGCGTGAGATATCCTGCTTGCATCAGGCCTGCAAAGGACTCCACCTGGGCACGGAGGGAAGGACACGGGCTCGTAAATACCCACTCCAGGGGAGGAGGCCCACATACACGCACACACACATGCACACACATACACATGCATGCACACGTACATGCATACATATGCACATACAAGCACACATGCATGCACACACGCACATGCATGAATACACACATGCACATATGCACACGTGTGCACACATACACACATGCCAAGAGGCACCCTCCACCAGGGCCTGGAGGACAGTCCTCTGCCAGCTTTCTGAAGTTGGTCCCCAGCCATGCCCCTCAGCCGTGAGAGAGAGGCCTCGAAGGCTGGGGATTAACTCTAGCCTGGTGAGGGCTGGGCCGGCTCAGGAACCAGCTAAAGACCCTCTCCGTGGAAAACAATGCAGCCAGGAAGAACTAAGCACATGGGTAGGTTCACATAAAACCATCAGAATTTGGGGCTGGAGAGATAGTACAGAGGTCTCAGTCACGGCCCACCCGGTTTGATCCCTGACATCCCCTAATGTCCTCTTGAGATCTGACAAGAGTAAGAGTCATAACCAGGTGTGACCCCAAAACTAAAAACTAAACCAAACCAAACAAAACCATCAGAATTCACACACGAAATCCCAGATCCATGTGCCAGGGATGACCTGACCTTTAGGCCACCGGGGATCACATCTCTCTATTCAGGCCCGGACAGGGCTCAAGGGCAAAGCACCAGCTTGCCAAGCCCTGGGTCCTATCCAGGGCATCACATGCCTTCCCCAGCATCCCAAGGATGGCTCTGGAGTCTCCACTTCATCCCTATCACCTGCAGTACCCCTGGCCACAGGTCCCACCATCGGCAACAACCACCAGAGGTCAAGGTAGAAGGGAGGGCTGGGAGGCATAGTAGAAGCCTCACCTCTGGGGGTTCGATCCCCGGAAGAACAACAACTAGACAATCAAGGTGGGTGCAGCCTCCACAGCCCCGTGGCAACCCACCACAGCTCTCTGTGTGGAACGCTTCATTCAGGAACAAAGGGTAGGGGGTGGGGAGACTTTGCCAAATCCTCCCTCTGTCCTTGGTGAGGGTCTCTGACCTGCACCTCAATTGCCTTTACAAAACAACCTTTATTAGGAACGATGGAGGGGGACTCCCAAATGGTGCTGAGGGGGTCCAGGGGCTACTTCTAGTACTTGACTAATCAGGCTGGGGTTCCAGTGAGAGAAACTGAGGGTCCTTCAGTGCTCAGGGACTCCAGGGGAACCCTTGGAGATGCTCAGGGGCCTTGTGGAGCTAGGGACCAGGCCAGAGCATACAAGGCATACAACCTGTGTTCTCTCCTGTCCCCAAGCAACTTTTTTTGAGGGGGATGGGGGCTGCCGGTAGTGTTCAGGGATTACACCTGAATCACTCAAGAATCACTCCTGGCAGTGCTCAGGGGACCATATGGTGTGCAGGAGATCAAGGCCAGGTCAGCTGTGTGCAAGGCAAGTGCTCTACTCACTGTATTATCGCTCTGGTTCCCCAACCCCCACCCAAGCAACTTTTTTTTTCCTTTTTGGGTCATACCCAGCAATGCTCAGGGGTTACTCCTGGCTCATACACTCAGGAATTATTCTTTGTGGTGCTTGGGGGACCACATGGGATGCTGGGAATCAAGCTTGGGTCAGCTGCGTGCAAGGAAAACACCCTACCCGCTGTGCTATGGCTCTAGCACCTCCAGCAAGTTTTCAATAGAAAAAAAAAGGCAAAGGATGATTCAGAGATTCTTTATTATTATTATTATTATTATATTATTATTATTATTATTATTTTGCTGTGCAGACGAGATACCCTCAGTAGCTTGCAGGGCTCTCAGAGAGGGGCGGAGGAATCAAACTCAGTCAGCCAGGTCGGCCACGTGCAAGGCAAATGCCCTACCCACTGTGCTATTGCTCCAGCCCATGGAGTCTAGTAGAGTTGAGAGGCCCTCACAGCAAAGCCTGGCAAGCTACCTGTGATGTAATCGATATGCCAAACACAGTAACAACAAATCTCAAAAAGGAGACGTTACTGGGCGCGCTCAAGCAAATCGATGAACAACGGGAGGACAGCGCTACAGTGCAGTGATTTTTTTTTTTTTGGCTTTTTGGGTCACACCCAGTGATGCTCAGGGGTTACTCCTGGCTCTGCACTCAGCTCCTGGTGGTGCTCAGGGGACCCTGTGGGATGCCGGGGATAGAACCTGGGTCAGCTGTGTGCAAGGCCAAAGCCCTCCCTGCTGTACTACCACTCCGGCCCCACAAGAATCATTTTTGCGAAAGCACCAGCCCAGAGCTGAAGTATAAAAATGTATACGTATATGGTAAAACTTATACGACATACAAAGCAGAAAGGCAATGCAAGCTAGTTATATGTGTCACTTAACAGTTTACTGTGGGTTTGGGCGGGGGAGGGGCATATGTGGCGGTGCTCAGGGTACTCGGGGTCTAAGGTATGGACCCCAGGGCAACCGCAGGCAAAGCATGTGCTCCATCCCTCTGACTCACCTGGCCCTAATCTTACACTCTTTGGGAGTCATATTCAAAACGTAAAAAAGCGGTGAGTGATTCTTAAATATATAATCCATGTAACTCCAATTTCTGTTTCAGCATCCAAAGTATATCAATAAAGCACTGAGAGATGGCACAGCAGTGAGGACAGTCCATGCCCCTGGCCCGGTTCCACTCCCAGAAGCACATGGTCCCCCACAAGCACTGCCAGGGGGCATCTTGAAGGCCCCTGAGAACCACTGGGTCCAGGTACCCCCAGCACTGCAGAAACTGAGCACTCTTGGATTCTCTCTTTAACCACAGGCCTGGTTGGCAGAAAAAACTCACCTGTGGGCCCCCCCCCCCACAAGCACTCGTTGAGACTTTCCTCCCTCTCTTAGAAAGAATCGCTGAGATCTTTCAAATTCTTTTTTTGTGATGTGAAGTCTTTGAAGCTTGGTAGGTGCTTGGTGAGTGAGTGTTGCTCCCTGTGGATGGGTCACATGGCAAGCACTAGTGAGTCACCTGAGGCTGGATGACTTCGTCTGCCCAGGGATGGCACCAAGGGCAGCAGCAAATGATGGTGTGGGGGTATGGTCATGCTGGGCAACTCGGGCGCGCCATGGAGAGGTGAGTTGGAAACGGATTCCAGTAATGAACCAAGAGGACAGATGCTGAAGGAAAGCTAATGGGATGGCCCGAGGATGCAGGCGGGCCATCGTCTGGCCAAGCAATTACACAGAGACAAAAGCAGAGGCGCGCCAGCCTGGCGCTAGAACGGGAGGGAGCCTTCACAGACACAGAGATGAAAATGCTCAGACATGACCCCGCTGATGGGCGCAGGCAGAGGCCGTGAGTCCCCTGCGGCTGCCCCAAACATACGCCATTTACGTTAGTATTTCTTTCTTTGCTCTGTTCTGTTTCGGTGCAGTGCTCAGGGTTGACTCCTGGCCCTGTGCTTAGGGATCCCACCTGGAGAGGCTCAGGGACCAGATGGGATGCTGAGGATGGAATCAGGTGAGATGCCCACGTGCCACATAAACGCCTTAACTGCTGTACCCTCTGTCACTCCAGCCCCAACATTTCTGGCCACGCATAAGCTTTAAACGAGTGGATTACAGGGAACCCTTAGTAGACGTGAGTATATCTCAACAAAGCTGCTAGCATCGGAGAAAGGGCAGAATGCTGGTTTAGCACAAGAGAAAGGGCAGAATGCTGGTTTTGCCCTGAACAACTGTCTTATGGACAACTGGTGAGGTCAGGTTTACCCTCTGTGCACTGGGAAAAAATTCAGTGAGAATTGGGAAAAGTATCTAGGGGCACAACAGAACATTTTTGTGTCCTGACTCCCCTAAGTGCGTTTTCTCTCCCCTTCCCGCCCCGGGTCTGTGTGCTCACACCCGTGTGATTCTGGTGCATTTTCTAAGCTGTTTGGGGAAAAGCACTTTGGGGACTAAGGCCAAACAGGCAGTTATAAACTGAACCTGCAAACAACCCATAGTTGCCTGGGCTGTGTGATGAGAATATAACAGCCCTTGGAGAGATGAACTCGGAACGGGTTGCAGTAATGAACCAAGAGGGCAGGGCGGTTTCTCTGCAAGCAAGTGGAAAAGCAGAGAGATTCTACTTCCCTTCCAGGTCATGGGCAGAGTCACCCCAGAGGACCCAGCTGAAGGCTCACAAAGCCCAGGTGGGGAGAGGAGGAGATGCTCTCCAGCCCCAGGGGGGCACCTGCTACTGGGTGAACTGGGAGGCAGGAGCTGGTGGCCTGAGATCAAGAAACTTCCAAAAGGTCAAATCAACTCTAGCCCAGAGGGAGGAGGGCGCCCTGCAGAGAACGCTCCTGTCAGCCAGCAGGGGGCGATGGCGAGTCCCCACTCACCTGGACAAGCCCCTCACCCGACTCACCTTGGCCAGGAACCGCCTGGCCTGAGAAGCCAGGACCTGGGTCTGTTCTGCAGAGGGTTGGTCCTTGGCGAGGCCTTGGTTTTCAGGGAGCCTCCCAGGGGTGGGCGCACCAGCGGATGAGGAGGGGCTCAGGTCCCCTCCAGAGATCAGGCCCCCTGGAAGACACAGCCACAGAGCCCTGAGGTCAAAATGATGGCACAGCGGGTGGGAAGTCTGCCTTGCACTAGCCCCACCTGGGTTTGACCAGCATCCCTATCCCCAGTGGTCCCCCTAGCACTGAGCACAGATCCAGGAGTCAGCCCCGACTGTCAAGTGTGACTCAAAAACAGAAAACCAAAATCAAGCAAAACATAATATTCTCCAGGTTGGCGAGATGGAACAGTGGTGAGGGCACTTGCTTTGCACATGGCCCACCCAGGTCCAATCCTTGACATCCCACTGGGCCCCCTGAGCCTGCCAGGAGCGCTTCCTGAGTGCCAAGCCAGGAACAAGTCCTGAACACAGATGGGTGTGGACCAAAATTCAAACACATAAACAAACTAACTGTCACTGTCCTCCCGTTCACTGTTCATCAGTTTGCTCAAGTGGACCCAGTAATGTATCCATTGTGAGACTTGTTGTTACTGTGTTTGGCATATCCAATACATCACAGGTAGCTTGCCAGGCTTTGCTGTGGGGGCGAGATAGTCTTGGTTGCTTGGCGGGCTCTCTGAGAGGGGCAGAGGAATCGAACTCAGGTCGACTGGGTCGGCCGCGTGCAAGGCAAACACCCTACCCGCTGTTGCTAAAATCCCTTCAGTGGAGAACAAAGTTTGGCCTGGGCCCATCACCACACGGGGTGACTCCATCTCAGAGAGGCAAGGGTTCCATTCCCACCCTCTCCCACACGCTCCCATTCCTATCTCAATGCCCCTCGCTGCCAGTAGGGGGTGCCCATGAACACTGTGCGAATTTCTTGGGACCAAGAGTGACAAGGCTGGTGCAGTGTCCTGCCCTACCCTGTCACCAGTTGACCCAGTGACCCCATTGCTCAGTGGTCCGGTCATACAGCTCCCACCGACTGCATGAGCCAGAGATGACCCTCACCTTCCCCCACAGCCTGAAGCCAGTGCTGTCGCCACTGAAGTGTCCCCCTGCCCCCCGACCTGAGATACATAGACGCACACAGAATCTCGGGCGGAACCAGCCTGGAACTTGTCCCAGACTCACCTGTGGCCTCGGAGTTCTGCGGGACGGCGGAGGGGTGGGGCCACCTCTCGGCAGAGTGGGGCTGCGGGATGGTGAAGGACAAGACCTTGGTCCCCTGGGACATGGTACCCATGTGGATGCTGTGGCTGGGCTGAGGCGGGTCCGAATACAGGTTCACCTGTAGGGAAGGTGAGGGATGGCAGAGGCAGTCAGGACCCAGGGAGCCACACCCAGAGGTCAGCCCTCCACCCCACACCCTCGTCCTGGTGCCCAGCAAACATGCCCGATGGCAGACACAACTTCCGGTGAGTTCCAGGACCCCACAGACACCAAGTGAAAGGTTTACGTGTCTAACTGATGAAGAAACAGAACCCAGGTTGAGTCACTCAAATTCTTCAGTAGACACAGTGCTGGGATGATAACCGAGCCTGTGACTTCCACATCAGTCATTTTTTATCAATAATGTGTGTAAGAATAAAATTTAATCGCCAAAGTCTTATAATCAACACAGTAGTTAAATATGTAGCACAATGACATTATGATCATATTATTATTGCCCTTAAAGTATTTCTGACAAAAATGATCATAAAAAAAATAGCAACTGGGGCTGGAGCAATAGCAAAGCAGGCAGGGCGTTTGCTTTGCACCCAGCCGACCCGAGTTCGATATCCAGCATCCCATCTGATCCCCTGAGCACCGCCAGGAGTGATTCCTGAATGCAGAGCTAGGAGTAACCCCTGTGCATCACCAGGTGTGACTCAAAAAGCAAAAAAAAAAAAAAAAAAAAAAAAGCAATTAATAGCTGTTGGGAGAAATTAGAGTAGAGACCCAGAGAACAAGTGGATGGATTCATCTCTAAGCCATAGCAGATCTCCTTTATTTGAGGATGGATTTAATGGGATAAATAGCCCAGTGTTGAACAGATGTCTGCTGTCAGGCAGATAAGCAAGGGAGGCCGTGTGAAGATCAAAATTAGAGGATGGTGACGTTAGTACAGGGATACGAGCTGTGGTTTTCTAACCTGCTGGTCTGTGGACCGGTGCTGGTCAGCAGGAGTAAAAGGCAAAAAGCCACTGATGTGCGGCAGGGCTTTGCCCACGGTGTTTTACTTTTACTGAACATGGCCATGCCTGTGTTTGTGCGCCATCTCTGGCTCCCATGTAGCCTGTGTGGCCCACAAGCTGAACTGGGCACCTCTGGGTCTCCATAGGCATTTGCTGGAGAGGATTGCGGGGACTTGGCAGAATCTGGGCCCCACCAAGCCCTGCCACTGCTCCCCTTTGAGTACTACACCTGCTGGCTGAATTCCCTTCTCTGTACAGAGTGTCCTCAATAACAAAGCCCTCGCTCTCACCTTCATTACACCATCACCACTGGAGCACGATTATCCCAACCACCTTCCCCACGACTGTCACGTCAACACCATGAACACCGATCTCCCTACCACCACCACCATCACATTCGCCATCACTGGATTCACCACCATCACCACCACCATTGCACTCACCTCCGCCCTCATCACCATCGTATTCACCACCACCATCCCCATGTTCATCAACACCATGCCACTACCACCACCATCTTCCCAATCACCAACATGACCTCACTACCATATCACCACCACATTCGCCACGACCACCCCGCCATCATCACATTCACCACCACCACGCCCCTCATCATCACTGTATTCATCCCCATATTCATCGGCACCATGGCCACTACCAACCACCACCATCACCATCACCAACATGATCACCACCATCAACATCACCACCTCCAACGTGATCACATTCATCACCATCACCACCACCATCACCATCACCACCTCATTCACCCCCACATTCACCACCATCATCATCACTGTCTTCATCACCATCACCATCACCACCTCATTCACCACCACCTTTACCACCACCATCACCATCATCACTGTCTTCATCACCATCACCATCACCACCTCATTCGCCACCACATTCACCACCACTATCACCATCATCACTGTCTTTATCACCATCACCACCTCATTCACCAACACCATCACCAACACCATCACTGTCTTCATTACCATCAACCACTATCATCACCATCACCTCATTCACCACCACCATCATCACTGTCTTCATCACCATCACCATCACCACCTCATTCACTACCACCTTTACCACCACCATCACCATCATCACTGTCCTCATCACCATCACCATCACCACGTCATTCGCCACCACATTCACCACCACTATCACCATCATCACTGTCTTTATCACCATCACCACTTCATTCACCAACACCATCACCAACACCATCACTGTCTTCATCACCATCACCTCATTCACCACCACCATCATCATCACTGTCTTCATCACCATCAACCACTATCATCACCATCACCTCATTCACCACCATCATCATCACTGTCTTCATCACCATCACCACTTCATTCACCACCACATTCACCACCACTATCACCATCAGCACCATCTTTATCACCTCGCCACCACCACCACCAGCACCATCATCACATTGATCACTGCCGCCATAGTCATCACCATCGTGATGCCATTGTCACTACCATCACCATCATCATCACCATCATCAACATGGCCATCGCCACCATGTCACCACCACATTCACCGCCGCCACCACTCCCCTCAGCATCACTGTCTTCATCACCAGCCACCAGCATCATTCTTCACATTCATCACGGCCACCTCCATCACCACCATCCTCCTCATCGTTGTTTTCGTCACCCCACCACTACCTTCATCTTCACATTCATCCCTCTCCCCCACACCGTTATCATCACATTTATTCACTACCATCGCCGGCCACCACCACGAAACCACCACCATTGTCACTGATGTGACCATCACGGAGGCAGGAGCGTGGAGGGTCATTTCCATTCTGGTGCCCCCCACCCCTGCTCCTCAAAATACCAGCCGGGAGCCCCTCGCCCTGGCAGGCAGGCAGGCAGCCCACTTAAGCTGCTCTTCCCGTCCAGCTGAGGCAGTGAGCCAGCTGCAAAGTGAGAGTCGGTAATGGCCCAGGCGGCAGGGCCTGCCGGCACGCCCCCTTTCAGGCTGAGCCTGGAGAACAAAGCTGGATTTTAATAATCCCCTTGGCCATCTGCTCAGGCTTGCCCGTGGGGTGGGCGCTCACCCACGTCCCCCCTTTCTTCCTGAGTGACCTACATCCTCCTTCAGGGGGTGGTTCCTCCTGTCACACCCGGCCCCGCCCTAGCCTCAGCCCAGTCTGAGGGAGCAGGGGGAAAGGGCCCTTGTTCCAGGGACCAAAGGGGAGCTGGGCTGGGTGCAGCTCAGTCTCCCCAGGCGCCTCCCCTGCCAAACAGTCTTTAGAAAGAACCAGGACCCAGCCCGGAGCCCCAAGGTCTCATGCTCCCCCTCCCTTTAAGCAGGGGGGTCCCAGGGAGCTCCACTGGCTCAGGAGGGGGTTAATCAGGATTCTGGGAAGGCAGGTGGGCCAGTGAATGCAGGACACTCCAGGATAAGGACCCGAATATTCTCGGCACAGATGGAGCTTTCCAGCCTTTAAAATGCTAATGAGCCCGTGAATGGGGCCCAGAGTGTGGGTGCGGGAAGAATAGGAAGTGTCCCCCCCAGCTCTGCCACACACAACTGCCCAAGGACAGCACCACCCGGTCCCACCCGCCTCAGGAGCTTCTGGGCCCATCACTGACCAGCAGGGAGGCAGCAGAATGACCCCTTTCCCAACTTGGGGGGCAGAGGGTTGGTCTCACTGGATCCATAACAGCTGAGCAGGGCTGGGAGGGGGCGTGGGCGGGCAGTGGATGATGCCAGGGTGATGAACAGTTACCCGTGCCCAGCCCTGGCCCCTGAATCTCTGATCTGGGCTTCCTGGTCCCACCCATCTGGCGGAGCTGTGGGACCCCCTTGAAACAGCCTTTCCAGCTGTAAGAACCCAGGATTATTATCTCTCTGTTCTGCTCAAGAGCCCCCCCCCCCCCCCCGCCGGCCAACCAGGAGAGGAAACACCCTCCCCCTCACGTCGGCTAATTCTGTGATCCTAACCGCACTGGGGTATCCCCCAGGCCTCAGTTTCCCCAACCAGGCTCAGCTGGTGACTGACACTGGGATGGCATCCCTCTGCTGTGTCCCCGTGCCTCTGCCCCAGACCCGCTCCTGGCCCCTCTGACCCTGAGCTTCCCCAGGACGTGGAGAGGCAAAGGTGCCCCCCAAACCTGCAGGCAGAGGCTGGACCCCCACTGCACACGTGTCACCGCTGTGGTGAGCACATCACCCCCACCCAGTTGGGTCTGTTCTCTTTCCTGGGAAGGATCAGACCCGGGGATGCTGGTCACACACTTTGCCTGGGCTCTCTGTGTGGGGAGGGGCGTCCCCTGTTCCTGCTCACCCACCCACCCACCCACCCACCCGCTGGGCCAAGCCTGGGTGTCCAGGGAAGCAGCCCAGCCTGGCTCCCTCTCCCATGGGTGCAGCTCTTCCTTGGCGGGGAGGGGCTCAGCTGCAGGGACCCTGAAAAAGAAGTCATCCTGCTGCTCGGCCCCCTTTCGCAGTAAAGTCCCTCGAGACTCTAGGCTCTAGGCTCCCAGGCCAGTGCTCTGAGCAGAAAGCCAGTCTGGAGAGCCAGGGGGAGACCTTTCCCGCCAGACCTCCGCACCCTCCTCAGCACCTGGGCACATGGGCCAGTCCTTTCAAGTCCTTTCAAGGATGTGCCCTGAGTCGAGTTGGCCGGAAGGAGGGCAGATGGCATGAGATGCTCCAGGCCTGCCCTGTGGCACGCCCTCCAGCACCCCAATCCCTCACTGGGGTCTCGACTGCCCACCCTGTACTTCGTGGGCACACAGGGGGGCTGGCACTGTCCACCCGTTCTCTGCCCTCAGACCTCATCTGTGCTCCGAAGAATGTGGTTTCCGGGACAGGAGGCCCCACCTGGACCCGGCTTCCTCCCAACTCTCCCCTCCAGCTCAGGACGGGACATGAGGTGCAGCTGGCTGGCCGCCAGGTGGAAGGGCCCATGGGCCCCTCATATGGAGCCCCAGGACAGGGCGGTGGGGCGGTGGGGGGTGGAGGCAGGTGCTGGGGTCGCAGGGCACCGGCTCCTAGGACTTCCTGCCTCTCGCCAGGCTCCCAGGGCTGAGAGCAGAGGCCGAGGGGGTGGGGAGCTGCACCCTGAACCCAGCCTTCCCACTCGCTGCAGCCTGATGGGGCAAGAGCAGCCGGGTAGGTGGTGACACAGGAAACCAACGGTCCCACTTCCTGCCTCACCCCAGAAAAGGGGAAGACTCCCCCAATACCCCATGCACAGTTCACACTGCTGTCTGCAAGTCGGGGTGGGGTGGGGGTAGATGGGGCGGCCCCCTCTCCAGGACCCTGAGCCTAACACTCAATTGTCAGGAGGGGATGGACAGCCCTTGCTGAAGGAGGAGACCCAGGAAACAAACAAGCCCCAGACAATGAATGTAAAGGCGGTGGCACTCCTTTGTGGCTCAGAGAGGTGGAGTCACTGCCTTAAAGTCACACAGCTAGTCGTGAAGCCAGAGGTGGGTCCATGAGCCCTGAGTTGATGAAGAAGGGGAGAGCCTCTGGCGAAATTCCAGAGCACCCCAGATTCAAGATGTCCAAGTTCATCGGTGGTAAAGGAGGGTGAGCTCAGAGAGGAGGGAAGGTCACTGGCCAATGTCACAGAGGGGCCTGAGGGTGGAAGGTGAACTGGGTCCCGCTTTCCCCAGGAGCTGCAGGGGAAGCAGGAGGCAGCAGCTAAGGAGGATGTTAAGGAAAGTAAAGGAGTGCCATCCCGGGAGGAAGGCAGCCCCCCACCCCTGCACCCCACCCCAGCTCCATACCTTGGCCCCCAGGCGCAGCTGGTCAATGGTGTTCTCGGCCTCTGCATACTTGGTGAGGAGCCTGTGGTAGTCCTCCTGGGAGAGGGGAAGAAGAGGGAGGGAGGGAGGGAGGAAGGGAGGGAGGGAGGGAGGGAGGGAGGGAGGGAAATAGAGAGAAGGAAAGAGAGAGGGAGGGAAGAAGAGAGAGAAGGAGAAAGAGAGGGAGAGGGAGGGAGAGACGGAGAGAGAGGCAGAGAGGGAGAGAGAGGGAGAGAGAGAGGGAGAGGAAGAGGGGGAAAGAGGGAGAGAAAGAGGAAGAGGGAGAGAAAAAGGGAAAAGGGAGAGGGAGAGAGGGAGAAGGAGAGGAAGAGAGAGAGGGAGAAGGAAAGGGAGAGGGAGGGGGGAGAGGGAGAGGGACAGAGAAGGAGAGCGGGAGAGAGGGAGAAGAGGAAAAGGGAAAGAGGAAGAGGGAGAGAAAGGGAGAGAGAGAAACTGTCACTATCAGGGCTGACATTCCTTGCAGGGAACAGCGCCCCCCAGAGGTGGCTGGGCTCCCTACACATGAGCAAGCAAGTGGACCCCTCTGGCCAGGATCACCGGCGGCCCCAGAGTGTCGGGGCAGTGGGACAACTTGGACTCCCAGACATGGCGCTAGAGTCCAGGTCCCCACTCTGATGCAGGACCCCATGGCCAGGACCTCTCCTGCAGCCCTGGACCACACTCGCTGCCCGGCTGCCACACCTCCCCCGGGCGGTTCCCATGTTGAAGGAGCCAAATAAGAATACTCTTAGGGGACCAGAGCGATAGGACAGCGAGCAGGGTACTCGCCTTGCACACAGTCAACCCGAGTTCAATCCTGCGCATCCCATAGGGTCCCCGGAGCACCGACATGAGTAATCCCTCAGCACAAAGCCAGGAGCAACCCCGAGCATCACTGGGCATGGCCGCCCAAAGCAAAATAAACAAAAGAGAACATCCCACCTTCCTACCCCACCCATGGGGCTGTGTCTGTCAGAGCCTGACCAAGTTGGGTGAGTCTGACCAAGCAGTGCTTGGGGTCCAGGGGTGCTGATGGGCTGGACTTGACCACATGAGCCACCTCCCAGCCCAGTCAGGAGGGTGACTGAATCATCCCTCAGCCCCTCTGAATTGTTGGGGTTTTTGATACTCATTGGTGCTCAGGGCTTACTCCTGGCTCTGTGCTTAGGGATCCTTCTGGAGGTGCTCAGGGGAGACCACGTGCAGTCTGGGCTCAGTCCACTGTGTGCCAAGCATGCACCTTAACCCCGGTACTACCTCTCAGGTCCCCCAAAGAGCCCTTTGGTAGAAACTAGAAGACTCAGAAGTCACCACAGTTGGGGCCAGAGCCATAGTACAGTGGGTAGGGCGTTTATCTTGCACACGGCCCCCTGGGTTCGATCCATGGCAACCCATATGGTCCCCCAGCACTGCCGGGAGTAATTCCTGAGTGCAGAGCCAGGAGTAACCCCTGAGCATCACTGGGTGTGACCCAAAAAGCCCCCCCCCCCAAGAAAAAAAGTCACCGTAGCAAGGTGACTGACCATTCAGGGTCTCCTCTTCAGTGCGTGTGGTTTTGTTTAGGGGACACATCTGCCAGTGTTCAGGGCTTCCTCTTGGCTCTGCACTCAGGGGCCACTCCTGGTGGGGCTCATGGGACCATAGAGACGCCAGGGATCAAACCTGGGTCATTCGTGTGCCAGGCACACACCCTGCCCGCCAGACTATCGTCCGACCCTTGAGTCACCTCCTGAACAAAACTGAAGGAGTTCATAAAGCTGAGTCACTACCAGGAAATGCACGAGTGCATGTCGCCAGCCCCCGCTGGAGGTGCCAGGAGCTGAGGGCTGGTTTGGAGCACGAGGCATGAGAAGGGCAGAGCAAGGCCTGGGAGGTGGCGGGAAGACAGCATGCAGGCCGACACGGCAGCTGCCTGTTTCCATCTCCGGCACCTCCGGGTTCCCTGAGCATCAACAGAAACACCCCCAAGAACGCAGCCAGCAGTAGCCCCTGAGCACTGCGGGGGGTGGCCCAAAGTGGTTTGGGGGATTTTTCACACTCCACCCAAAAAAAAAATCACAGCAGAATCAAGCATTTCTCTAGTCTTGCCCGCATGCATGAGACCTGGGGGACGGAACAGGTCCAAGTTCTACTTTAGAGAAGACTTTCGGGAAATTAGTGCAGACAGAATGACAGCACTGGGATGCACGGCCGCCTGGTCACCCCTGAAGAAAGCCCTAGGTTCAGGGCAATGAGCCCAGCAAGACTGGGAGGCATCCAGGCGTTTGACAAAACCAACCTTGCAAGCGCTCTTGCCCCCAAAGGCCCATGGGTGCGGGGCTTGTGGTCTGCAGGGGGAACCAATGGGGAGCGATGGCCCCCCCCAAAGCTCCAGCTCAGTTGGACCGATAGCACAGCGGGGAGGACATTTGACTTGCACATGGCTGACGCGGATTTGATTCCCAGCATCCCATATGGTCCCCCTGAGCACCGCCAGGAGTCATTCCTGAGTGCATGACCCAGGAGAAACCCCTGTGCATCACTGGGTGTGACCCAAAAAGAAAAAAATTAAAAAGCTTCATCCTACAGCTCCTTGCGGGAACACACATCAGTGGAAGATGGACCCGCAAAGTCCAGAATGCAGGATGCCCTGCAGGACAGAACAAATTTGTTTCCTCAACAAATAAATTACAAGGAGGAAAGAGATTTTGAGGATGCGAAAAGGAAACAAAAAGAATACATGAATCAAAGCGGTTTGGTGACTCCAACAGCACCAGGAGCAGATGAGGGCTGTGTGCGTCTGGGTTCTGCATCCCACACAGACAGGCCATTGATGAGAGCCCAGAGCCAGCGGAACCTTCACTGGATATTGACAATAGTAAAGGAAGTGACATGAACTTTTCGGGCCCAGGATAGAAGTGCGCTTCTGTGTAAGTGAACGTGAACCCTGAGCTTTGCAGGGACACACTAAAATATTCCACGGTCCAGTGCTTTCATGTTGGACATTTGCTTCAAAATACCCCCGTGGCGAGGAGGTGGGGGAGGGGGCTGGGGGAGTGAAGGGGGCGGGAGAGGTGAGGACATTGGTGAGGAGGAGCTTGGCTGGGTAACGGGAATGGAGGAGAAGCTGGGTGACAGAGACGGGGCTCCATTATAACATTTTCTCTCTGATGCATTATGAATGCTTTTCTGTTTTTTTTTTCGGGGGGAGGCACACCTGGCCATACTCAGGGCTGACTCTGTGCTCAGGGACCACTCCTGGTGGTGCTCGGGGTACCATATGAGGTGCTGGGACTCAAACCAGGTCAGCCATATGCAAGACAAACCCTCTACCTGTGGTAGATGGCTTCAGCCCCATATTTTGAATTTTCATTACAGCACTAATGAAACCCAGCAAACACAAACTGTGAGTACAATCCTTGCCTTTTCATAGCAAAGGAAGCAGGGGTATCCCTCAGTTTGGGGTACCCAAGGCCTCCCTCCACCGGCTCCACCGGCACCTCCCTCCTCCTGGCCCAGTCCCAAGGCCCCAACTCTGGTCAGGGAGGTGCCCGGGCAACAGATTCCCCTCTAGAAATGAGCCCCGCTTACCTGGAGCTGATGGACCAGCTTGGTGGCTTGCTCAGGGGTCTGGAACTCTTGGGGCACCCTGGCGATGGGGTGGGTGGGAGGTGGGTTCTGCCCCGGGGGGGTTTCTCCACTATTGAGCAGTACCTCCCTCACGATCTCGGCGGGAGACTTGAAGACAAGAGGCGTGCGGGGGTCCTGGGGCCCTCGGCCCGGGTTCCTGGCCTTGGGTGGGCGGTAGCTCTCTTCTTTGGGGAACCTCACCCGGGGTCCCACCTTGGATAAATCGGGGAGTGGGTGGTTTAGTCGCCCCCGGCCGTACTTGCGGGCGTCACTGGAGGCTGCGTGGCCGGCCAGCGTGGCTTCCTGTCTGGGGGCCGGCCTGTCCAGCCGGGTCGGCCTGGGCTGAGATCTGGGGGGGCTGGTGGAGCCGGCGAATCGGGAAGGGAGTGTCTTAGGTGACGCCCATGTCCGCTTCCAGGCCTGGGCCCCGGGCTGCGGGCAGGAGAGGCCTGTCGCCTGGGCCCCCCATCGAGCTGCAGGATCCGGGGGGCTGGGGGAGGGGGGTGTCGAGGAGTCCTGGAATGCCTTGGTGGTTGCCACGGTGACACTTCCTCCAACGCCGTCAGCTGGGTTCAGGCGGTGACGATGGGGACTGTTGGCCCGGGCCGTGGGCTGGGGGTCAGGGGACCGCCCTGCCCAGGGGGAGCCGGGGCTGTCGGAGGGGGGTCCCAGGCTGACGGTTCCACTGCTCCAGGACCTCGCTGGGCTGAGGTCAGCAGTTTGGGCGGCCTCAGAATGTTCTGGAGGGGTGTCCCCGCTGCTGCCCCCTGCCGGATCCCACTCCGAGGTCCTGGGGCTGTGTTCGTGGTCTTCATCCTCTTCGGAGCTCAGAGCGGCCTCAGACTCAACCCTTGGGGAGCTGTCCCTCGTTCCCCGGGCCTCTGCACCTCCAGGGACCTCGTCTGGTGCCGCTTCAGGTGTGGCCGGGCGGGGGTCCTGCCGGCCGAGCCAATGGACAGGCATGGTGGAATCTTCTAGACTGTCCACGTCCTCCTCTTCAAACTCTGAAAGGACAGGCCCAAGCATAGGTCAGGTTTGGATTCTGGGTGTCGCCTGCCCTGAGCTACTCCTCGCCCCGCCCCCTCCTTAAGCTGGGGGGTGAACCCCAGGTGTCCCCCCATCCACAGGGTGCTGTGGCACCCTAAGACCTGCTCACTAAGAATTCCCACGGGTCCTTCAGAGCCAGGGGCTGGAGTGGGTAGGGCGCTTGCCTTGCATGCGGCCGACCCGGGTTCGATTCCCAGCATCCCATATGGTTCCTCCGAGCACTGCCAGGAGTAATTCCTGAGTGCAGAGCCAGGAGTAACCCCTGAGCATCGCTGGGTGTGACCCAAAAAGAAAAAAAAGAACTCCCACGGGTCCTTCAGAGCCCAGCCGCAAGCCTGGCCCTCCTTCCGCCTTGCCACTGCCCCTCTCAGATCTACAAGCCGGAATCGGGGTGGGGGGTGTGGGGTGGAGACATCTCTGTCCTTTGTCCCTCGAACCCACACCTCCCTCCATCCCATGTGTCACAGGCCTGGTCACAATTACCTCCCAGGGCACCAGCAAGCTCACCCACGGCCCTGCCCAAGTCCAAATGCTCGCATGCCCCGACCACAGCAGAGCTGCTTCGCCCCTTCCTCAGCCCTCACCTTCCTCCCAAGCCTGAAAGCTCAGACCTGCCTTCCAGCAGTAGCCAGGATAGGCCTGGACCTTTGCTACAGTCCTAAGTCCCCTCCCTCCACTCGCCATGATCCTCTAATGTCCCCCTCTCTGAAGCCCTCTCTGGTTTTGTCCCTGTTCTAGTAGTGACACCTGCTTTCCAACCACAGGGCCCTTGCACATGCTCAGTTTGATCTAATTGGGTCAAATGCATCCCTCCCTCACCCTCCCCAGACTGCATGCTTTGGTTCTTTCTGCATCTGATAATGATGATGCATTGAATGAAAACGCCAGGAAGAAAAACAATAAGCAAGTAAACAGTGGGCACAGCCAGTGGACCTAGCAATTTAAATGACAGAGGTCACCATCAAATCAAGTGCGCCCAGGTAGATGAACCATTTTCTATCTGTACTTGCAAAAACTAGGAATGGCCTAGAAGCCCAGCTGCCGGGAGAACACTCATGCTGGGGAATTCCCCTGCAGGCCCTGGGAGCGGCTTGGGAAGGGCTGGGAAAGTTTGTGTCTATTCTGAGACAAGAGAGCTGGTTTCAGTTGGTCAGACCCTTCCCTCGCTCCTACTACATTTGCAGACATATGTAGCAAAGAAGATCTGGCTTGCCATTTACAGCATTTCCTTTCTGGAGTTTTTGCGATCAAAAGTATTACTTATTGTAATTTAAACCTTTAAAGTTTCGGGGCTGGAGCAATAGCACAGTGGGTAGGGCATTTGCCTTGCATGAGGCCAACCTGGGTTCGATTTCCAGCATCTCATATGGTCCCCCGAGCACCGCCAGGAGTGATTCCTGAGCGCATGAGCCAGGAGTAACCCCCGAGCATCACTGGGTGTGACCCAAAAAGCAAAAAAAATCTTTACAGTTTCTATTTCTGTTTTTGGGGGCTATAGGCAGTAATGCTGAGTGCTACTCTCGGCTCAGTGCTCAGGGGCTCGCTCCTGACAGTGCTTGGGGGAATGAGCGATGCCAGGGCTTCACACAGGCCGGGTACAGTGCTCAACCTCTGAGTCACAGCCCCTAAATCTTGAACATTTTTTTAAGTGAAACACTTTTATAGATGATTTTTGTTTGTTTTTGGTGGTTAGTTTGGAGCCACATCTGGCTGTCCTTAGGGGTTACTCCGGGCTCTGCTCAGAGATCACTCCTGGCGGGCTTAGGGACCATATGGGATGCCTGGAATCGAACCCATGTCAGCCCCATGCAAGGCAAGCACCCTCCCTGCTGTCCTATCTCTCCAGCCCGTGACGATTATTTTCAAATTCTAAAAGGCCCTGGAGGGCTGGAGTGATAGCATAGCAGGTAGGGCATTCACCTTGCATATGGCTGACCCGGGTTCGATCACCAGCATCCCATATGGTCCCCTGAGCACCGCCAGGAGTGATTCCTGAGTGCACAGCCAGGAGTTGCCCCTGAGTATCGCCGAGTGTGACCAAAAATAAATAAATAAATAAATAATATAAAAATAAAATGCTCTCGAGTTGCCCACCTCCCACTAGAAGGTAGGGGTTGGGGGACAGCATGGGGGTGGCAGGGGACTCACCCTCTCCCGTGTACTCTCCTGGTTCGGAGTCCGGGGATGCATCGGGCTGCGGGTCCGGGGACCACTCCAGAGGCTGCAGGTGCTGCTGGGCGCGGTGGAAGTCCTGCAGGAGCTCAGGGCTGGCGGCACTGAGGAGGGGCCCCTCTTCCTCCCAGCTGCCTGGGCCAGTCGGGTCCGCAACCGTCCCGGCCTCTGCCCAGGCCCAGCGCCGCCGCCTGGATCTCTTCCCCAGGCCCGGCTCAGCCCAGCGGACCTCCGCGCCTGAGCTGGCCATGGGGCCTGGCCTGGCCTGCGTTTCACCGGAGCCACCTCATCTTCAGGGGACACAGCTGCCACCGCAGCCGCCGGAGTCACTGCTGGCTCCTCTCAGCTCCTGCCATCCCGCCTGGGACCTGTCAGGGACAGAGTCGAGGAATGATGTTAATGTTAGACACACACACACACACAGAGTAACATCAGACAGCTTCAACCCATTAAAGCCATGCCACCTTGAGCAAGTTGTTCCACCTCTCAGAGTGTCGAAGGTTAATGCATTCGTCCCCTCCTTCCTACCAAGTAAAAGTTCTAGCAGGAGCTCAGGAACCACACACACACACACACACACACACACAGTAACATCAGACAGCTTCAACCCATTAAAGCCATGCCACCTTGAGCAAGTTGTTCCACCTCTCAGAGTGTCGAAGGTTAATGCATTCGTCCCCTCCTTCCTACCAAGTAAAAGTTCTAGCAGGAGCTCAGGAACCACACACACACACACACACACACACACACACACACACACACACAGTAACATCAGACGGCTTCAACCCATTAAAGCCATGCCACCTTGAGCAAGTTGTTCCACCTCTCAGAGTGTCGAAGGTTAATGCATTCGTCCCCTCCTTCCTACCAAGTAAAAGTTCTAGCAGGAGCTCAGGAACCACACACACACACACACACACACACACACAGTAACATCAGACAGCTTCAACCCATTAAAGCCATGCCACCTTGAGCAAGTTGTTCCACCTCTCAGAGTGTCGAAGGTTAATGCATTCGTCCCCTCCTTCCTACCAAGTAAAAGTTCTAGCAGGAGCTCAGGAACCACACACACACACACACACACACACACACACACACACACACACACACACAGTAACATCAGACGGCTTCAACCCATTAAAGCCATGCCACCTTGAGCAAGTTGTTCCACCTCTCAGAGTGTCGAAGGTTAATGCATTCGTCCCCTCCTTCCTACCAAGTAAAAGTTCTAGCAGGAGCTCAGGAACCACACACACACACACACACACACACACACACACACACACAGTAACATCAGACGGCTTCAACCCATTAAAGCCATGCCACCTTGAGCAAGTTGTTCCACCTCTCAGAGTGTCGAAGGTTAATGCATTCGTTCCCTCCTTCCTACCAAGTAAAAGTTCTAGCAGGAGCTCAGGAACCACACACACACACACACACACACACACACACACACACACACACAGTAACATCAGACGGCTTCAACCCATTAAAGCCATGCCACCTTGAGCAAGTTGTTCCACCTCTCAGAGTGTCGAAGGTTAATGCATTCGTCCCCTCCTTCCTACCAAGTAAAAGTTCTAGCAGGAGCTCAGGAACCACATACACACACACACACACACACACACACACACACACACACACTCACGCGCACACACACATACACACATGCACACACACACATATAAGCTCATGCATGTGCACATACATACACACACACACACATACACACAGTAACATCAGAGGGCTTCCTCCCCTTACCGCTGTGCCACCTTGGGCAAGTTGCTCCACCTCTCGGAGCCTCCACAGTAAAATCGTGATGAGTCCCCTCTCCGTACGCTGCTTTGTCAAGTGCCTTCAGACACAGGGTCAGGGGCCAGTGGTCCCTTCCGGGGCAGCCCCCGGTACTATGGGAGAGTTCAGACAAGGGCAGAGGAATGGTGAACAGAGCATCCAGAGCCTAGAAAAACTGAAACTGGGAATCTGGCCAACACTGCAGCCACTGGTGGTGACTCTGCTGACAGGGGTCCATGGGGGCCCCAGCAACCAGCCACCAAGGCTGCCACGACAGGTAGACCACGTAGACAACGCTGGGATTTGGGTGGGTTACAGGGTCACCAAGGTGAACCTCAAACCGTTAGACCCGGGGAAAGCAAGCAGAGGCAAAATTTCCTCTTAGGAGGATGCCCCTGAGAGGGCGGTTCTGCAGTGTGGGAGAAAGCTGGCTGGTGGGCCACGGGGGTGTGGGACGGAGGCGTGGGCAGGGACCACTGCAAGGCAGGGGTCTCCTTTTGGGGTGATTGGTGGCACCCTGAGCAGCAGAGGCGATGTTTTGTGAGATCGTGCCCTTCCGAGGTGTTGATTCTGCTCACTTCAAGCAAAACCACTCTGGGCGGGCGCAAGTTTGTAGGCCCAGAGCAGGGAGGAAGTGGTCTGGCCCCGGGAGGGGTGGGCGGGGCTGGGCGAGTCCGCAGCAAGTGTGAAGGAGGGGAGTGGCCAGGGCTGCAGGGGAAGTGGGAGAGCTCTGGGTTCTTGCTGGGGCAGCATGAAGGGGATCCCAGACAAGGAGGCACTCAGGGCTGCATCTAGAAGCTTCTCTCCGGTCGCCCTGCAGTGGCAGCAGCAGCCAGGGGAGGAGCCGGGCTGGGGAGAGCGGAAGGCTGGGGAAGGACCTGGGGAGACTCCTCCCTGTCTCCCTGCAGTGCTCCTCCTCTCCCTCCCTCTGCCCTCCGGAGCTCTACATATGGGAAATCGGTCCTGAGACCTACGGGGCCATCCGCAGGCAAGGTCAGGCTGGGGAAGAAGGTCCACCTGGCAGTGCCCCGCTCCCGCCTCCGCCCCAGCAAAAGCCCAGGCCTCCCGGGACAAACAAGTCTGCATTTGTCCCCGCAGCTTCCCGTGATCTGCAAGGCTGAGAACAGTCACCAGGCGGCTATTTCTAGACAGCGAGTCCCCTGGGGAATGGACCAGTCCCCGGATGCTGACACATCTTGGGGGCTGGGGAAGACCCTTCTCCCTGCTTGCTCCTTGGATCTGGGCTCGTGGGGAACACCATACACCACCCCCCCTCACGCCCCCACCCACTCTTCCTCTGCACCCCGGACCTGCACTCAATTTTCTCCACCCCGTGAATCTCGTCATGACCGTCCCCCCTTCCCTGGACTGCGTCCACTCCGCAGCCTGGGTTGGGAGCTTGGCTCACACACTGCCCATCTGCCCTCCCCTAGGCTCATGAGGAGGCCCCAGGAAAACACGTTGGCACAAGGGAAAACAAGCTCAGTCAGGAGGGTCCCGTACTCTCGGGCATTCTGCTTACAGACACACCACCCCTGGCATCTGCATGCACGAATACACGAGCTTGTCTTAGACCTCAAGGGGCTAGAGCCATAGCACATAAAGCAGGGAGGGCGCTGACCCTGCATGCGGCTGACCAGGGTTTGATCCCCAGCGCCTCACATGGTCCCCCAAGTCCACCAGGAATGAGTCAGGAGCCAGCCCTGAGCATAGCCAGGTGTCGCTCCCATGAACTATGTCCCTCCCCCCCAAAAAAAGTCCCCCTTCCCTGAGATGAGTATATTAAAAGCTGTAAAAGGAAGTCTGCCCAAGGAAAAGTCTGATCCTTGTACCCCATGCCCTCCGAGAAGGGCCCCGGATGCCCTTAGCAAGCCCTGCTGGGGGCCCTGAAGCTTGAGAGCTCTTGAGAGTCCTCTGAGGATACAGGCTCCTAGGTTTACCCGACGAGAGCTGGGCCAGAGAGATGGGACAGCAGGTGGGTGCTTGCCTTGCATGTGGCCAGCTCAGGTTCAACCCCGGGCACCATATATGGTCCCGAGTCTTGTGAGGAATGATCCCTGAACACAAAACCAGGAGTCGGCCCTGTGACCCATAAGCAAGCTGGGTGTGACCCAAAATTTGAGAGAAAGACAGAGACAGAGAAACAGAGAGACAGAGAAACAAAGAGATCCAGAGGCCTTATTACAGGGCCCTGAGATTTGCATTTTATTTGGGGGGAGGGGTCTCTCCAACAGTGCTCAGGAGCCTTTCCAGATGATACTCAACCCAATAGTACGAGTTTGGTTCTCAGGCCAGAGTTGCTGAGGGCCGCCTGGTCCACACTGGCAGTGCCCAGGTGCCACAGGGGCACACCAGCCTATTGCATCATCTTCCTAGTCAAGAATATGCATTCCTTTATTTTCAGGGAATCCCCCAATGAGGAGATCGGGAAGCCGAGGGGACCTTCTGGAGATCCTGGGTCATGCAGGTTGGCAGTTCCATGGGAGACCTGAGCCCTGTGGTGCTGAGGATCAGGTTGACCATCCTGGTGGTGTTCCGGGGGCCTGCAGGGCCACACCTGATGTTTGGGGACTTTGAGGTGCCAGGATGAAACCAAGGTCTGCTGCAGGCCAGGCAAGCACTTAACCCCTGCACGGCCTCTCTGGGCTGAGAACCTAGTTTATTTGTTTTGTTTTTGTTGGTTTTTTGTTGTTGTTGTTTTGTTTTGTTTTGGGGCCAAACCTGGCGATGCCAGGGCTCACTCCTGGCTCTGTGCTCAGAAATCACTCCTGGCGGTGCTTAGGGGACCAGATGGGATTCCGGGGATCAAACCCGGGTTAGCTGCTTGCAAGACAAACACCCACTGTACTTTCACTCCAGCCCCTGTCTTTTTTAGTTTTCTATTTTGATTTTGGGGGCCACAGCTGGCTGTGCTCAGGGCTGACTCCTGTCTCTGTGCTCTAGGATCACTTCTGGTGGGCTCAGGGGACCATATGGGGTGCCAGGGACTGAATACATATTCTCGACTAGGGAGATGGTACCAAGGTCTGGAGCATCCCACGGCACCTGGGCACTGCCAGTGTGGCCCTGGAAGCTCCTGGCACCACCGCCAAGCAAATGCCCTACCCTTGCACTATTGTTCCAGTCCCAGCATCTACATTTTAAACCAACACCCCAGGTGAGACCCCCTGACATGCTGCCCAGGTCTCTGGGTCCTGCGAAGCCACAGGTAAGGCTGGTGTTTTGTGTCTTCTGAGAAATCTCCTTTTCCTCTTGTCAGGCCAGGGAGCAGTGGGCCCCATCAGAGGCCTCTGGGGGCCAAAGAGGAACATCTGCCTCCAGGGATGACTCAGGCACCACAGAGAAACCCCACCGCGACCAAAGACAGAGGCAGCTTGCACGCCCAGGGCTCCCCACAGCAGTGACCTTCTCCTGAGCCAGGCTCTGGGGCCACACTCCTGTCATGCTCTGGCCTGGGGAGAGGGAGCACACACACACACACACACACACACACACACACACTGGCCACGGGGAGAGGCGTGGGCTGGACATCTGGAGGCCTGGCTGCACTGCACCCAGGGACCCACTGGGCAGC